TTTCCAAGGGGAGGAATCACCATGTCTAGGGCTACAGCAGGAAACCGAGACAGACACGAGCCCTGCAGATATTGCTAACCACTGTCCCTGAATTTGAGCCTGAGAAGAATGGCAGGAGCATGTAGACTGAAGACACAGGGCTCTGCTGAACAGACGGTGGAATGCTGCAAAAAGATGTGGTGAACATCAGGGGCCTGGTGCCATGGGTTAATTGGTTAATCCTCCCATTGCAAGCACCGGGATCCCAAATGGGTGGCAGTGTGTGTCTCAGCTGCTCCACTTCCCATCCAGCTCCCTGCTTGTGGCCTGGGAAAGCAGTTGAGGATGGCCCAAAGCATGGGGTCCTGCACCCACATGGGAGACCTGGAAGAGGCTCTGGGGTCCTGGCTTTGGGTTGGCACAGCTCCAGCAGCTGTGGCAGCTCATGGAGTAAATCAATGGTCAGAATATCTTCCTCTCTCTCTCCTCTTTTCTGTATATCTGACTTTCCAACAAAAATAAAATGAATCTTGAAAAAAAAAAGAAGAAGAAGAGAGCTTCCCTGGCCAATACTATCTCTTATGCTTTACTTGAGGTGAAAATAACAGACCAAAGTATACCAACACGCTGTGTTAATGTCTTCTCCCTTACTTTTTAGTTTCATTAATGTAAGAATAATTATTCTAATTGCTAGCTTCACTTAAGATAAGGATTAATGAAAGCTTTTGTGTGACACCTACCTTCTTTTGAGGTATAAAAGTCTGTATTCTCAAATAAAGTGCATCATCTTGAAAGTGTAGATGATGGCTGCAGTGTAATTAATGAAATTATTTCTCCTTTAAGCATCTGCTTGTTGAGAGTTCAATTAATCCTGACCGCCAGCCGCCCCAGGGATTCAAAGACCTACCTACACTGGCCTCTTCCATGAGTTGCTCCGTTTTCCAAAGCACACCTAGGCCTCCATCTCCCAGTAGGCTCTATGGGTGAACTGGCTGAGGACTACACCTCCCAGTGGTCATTGCGGGTGGCCCGAATTGGGACTCCACTTCCCAGAGTGCCAGGTGAAGTGAGGCGGGACTTAACTTCCCAGAGGCCCAAGCTAGTGGGAAGACTCTTGGTGATCCATCTCCAGAGGGTGCCCTGGACAACCTCATCTCCAGAAGGCCAGGTGAGTGGACTAACCCACAAGGACGAGGACGCTGGTCCAGGGCACCGACCGTGACGCCCGCCCAGCCCTGAGGGAAGGGTCTGACTCTGCCGTCACGCTCACCTGAGCCAACCTGAGTCGGAGAAGCAGCTTCCTGTGCCCCCACCGTGGCCCCCAGGACTCTGCAGGACGCTCCTCCGGTTTTCCTGCCAAATCAAGGAAATCCGGGGCTGTGCTCAGTTGCTCATATCCATGGAGTGGCAAAAGAGTCATCTGCACCATGTCTTACCCTCAGTGATGAAAAAAAAAAAAAATTACAGTCCATATTGAAAATCACAAGTGTAAACAAGCACACTGTAGCTTGGACTGCAGCCCTTGCACGGCTGGGTGTGGACACAGAGAAGCCCACACCCAGAGACAGCACGGGCTAGGAAGTGCAGTCAGTGCAAAGCCCTTTCTGCAAGGAGCCCCGGGAGCTGAAGGCCACAGGCCCCTGTAGACTCTCCCAGAAACACTATCCTGGTTCCCCCGGGAGAATCCGCAGTCTGGTGTCACACACAGGTAACTGCAGGAGCCTCTGGGGGTTGAAGACTGTCAGTTCTTCCACTCCCAAGAATTCCAGGCAGGACTGCCCATGCAGTCCTCCCTGCTGTGAGCTGCCCGTTTGCCTTGGCATCCTGGGAATCCTAAGTGCAGGCCCAGCACCACCTCAGGTTTTGGGTCGGGTAGACTGACTCAGTCCCACCATAGAGGCTTCACAGTTAATGTAGATTCCTCCAGTTACTTCTCTCTTTAAAATAGATGTTTTTATTGGAAAGGTAGATTTTTAGAGAGGAGAGACAGAAAGCTCCTCCATCCACTGGTTTTCACCTCAAATGACCTCAATGACTGCAGCTGAGCCCATCCAAAGCCAGGAACCAAGAGCTTCTTCCAGGTCTCCCAAGCAGGTGCAGGGGCCCAAGCACTTGAGTCATTCTCTACTGCTTTCCCAGGCCATAAGTAGGGAGCTGAATGGGAAATGCAGCAGCCGGGTCACAAACCAGCACCCATATGGGATTCTAGCACTTGTAGGGGTAGAATCAGCCAATTGAGCCATGCACTGGGCCCTCCTCCAATTATTTCAAACAAATGTCACAATCAAGTCTAAAGAAACCTACTTCAAAACAGATGCACTGTGGCACAAGTTGGTGTCCCAGCTGCTCCGTATCAGATCCAGGAAAAACAGCAGAGGGTCGCTCAGGTGTCCTGGTTCCTGGCTCTTGCCTGGCACAGCCCTGCCAATTAACGGGTGTCTCGGGGAGTAAACCAGAATGTGGAAGATCTGTCTCCCCTTTCCAACTCTTTCAGTTAAATACAGACATCTTTAAAACAAAAAGGAGTACACATTGCACTTGGCAAATACATCCTGAGGCCTCTTCCTCCATTACTGTCTTGTCTTTGTTGACAAAATCAGGTCATTTGTACTGTAGAATTTTCCTCTTGGCTTGGCTGTCCTTCCACAAGTCCCCAGATTCCATTTCCTGGGCCCATGTCTTATTTCAGGATCTTGATCACATTGGTTCTCAGTATTGCCACTTCAGGGACTGGCCTGGGAGGACAGCCAACCATGTGAGCCACACGAAGGAGTATGATTTCTATCTTGTTGCTCCTTAAAGCAACCCCTGGTCAGGAACAAGGATCCTGTTTTGGGCCTTCACTCACACAGACTGCCTGCCATTGGACTCAGGAGGGGACCAGAGCCTCAGGCTGTAAGTCCTTTCACAACACACCCCACCCTGGGGTCAGTGTCCAGCCTGAGTTCCACTTGGTTGTGGGAAACGAAAAGTACCCTGTGTAGCTGTTCAAAATGTGCACTGCACACAGTGCTGTTAATGAACACAAAGTTTCCATTGGGGGTGCTACAAAGACTCCACCTCAAGGGGAAGCTATGAGTTGCTCCCACAAAGCTTGGTTTATTAGCAACAAGGAAACAGTGGGAAGGTGTGGTTCCCTAAACAAACTGCCTCCCCATAAAGCAGTTTGCCAGTTTTACAGCAACGGCAAGAGGGGTGTCCAGGATGTAAGAAAGGGGGTGGGGAGGCCCTTCCTGCTCCAGCCACAAGCCACTTCACACACCTTAGCTCAGAGAGCTGGCTCTCACAGCCCTCCTTGTCAGGGTGGTCTGGCTCCCTCTGCACACACTGTGCTAGGGAAAGGGTCCTGGGAGGTGCCCGGGAAAGCCAGCTCAAGTGTGGAAGCCCTATATTTGGGGTTACAGCACCTGGGATTGGCCCTAAGTGATATCAGAGCCATGATCTTCCTAACTTCCTCCAAAGTTGTTCTACGCAGAACATTCCAACCTTTGAACAAGGTTATCTCCCAGGTCTTGAAGAGCCTGTTCGTTCACCTACAAACTACCCATGCTGACAGAATAATTGGGAATGTTCCCTTATATCAAGGTAAAAAAGCTGGTGACTACCACCACAGTCCAGATGTCTCCAGCTCCCATTTTCATTTGTATATTACATAATATATCCAGAGTTTGTTCTAAATGTTACACAATTCAATACCATGGGTCAGCACCCAGACACGTGGCTCTCTCGGGCTGCAAAGCAGGGACCTCCTACCCGGTATGCAGTGCAGACAGCTTCAGCTTGTCCTCTGAAGGACCTCAGTCACTCCCATTTCACAGATTCACAGATGAGAAAATCCAGGTGTGCTCCCATGTGGGCCTCTCAACCCACTGGAGCCACTCCTGCCCACAGTCCACGTGACTCAGCTGCCGCAAGTTGAGGCTTGGTGGCCCCAACAGGTCTGTGAGTTCAGAAGCCCTGCTGACAAGACTCAGAGGGACATCTGCGCAGCTAAGGGGGTGCAGGACGGGCCGATGGGGTGGCTCTCCCCATTACTGGTCACAGAGGTTGGCCTTGAGCACCAGGCTATAGGCTGGCCCATCTGAGCCCCCTTACTGACCCTGTTGTGACTGAGCAGGCAAGGTGACCTCTGATCTGTGCCTGTCTTTCTAACAGGTGGACATTGCTCAGACCCAGGAAAAGAGTTGCTGGACAGGGCATGAGCTCTGGGCCTGCTTCCCGGCTGCTGACCCTCCAGCGACACTTGGACCACCCTGAGGTAAGAGGACAGATGGAGAGATGGGCAAACACACACATATATTTCTAGACCCTCAGCATGGGGACACACACACACCCCCCTAGACTCTCAGGACCCTGAGGTTAGGGGGCACACACACACACACCCCTAGACTCTCAGGACCCTGAGGTTAGGGGGCACACACACACACGCCACGGAACCCTCTACACCCTGAGGTTAGGGGGCACACACACATACACACCTGGACCTACAGCACCCTGAGGTTAGGGGGCACACACACACACACACACACGCCACGGAACCCTCTACACCCTGAGGTTAGGGGGCACACACACACACACCCCTAGACTCTCAGGACCCTGAGGTTAGGGGGCACACACACACACGCCACGGAACCCTCTACACCCTGAGGTTAGGGGGCACACACACATACACACCTGGACCTACAGCACCCTGAGGTTAGGGGGCACACACACACACACACACGCCACGGAACCCTCTACACCTGAGGTTAGGGGGCATACACACACATACACACCTGGACCCACAGCACCCTGAGGTTAGGGGGCACATACACCTGGACGCTCAGTGTCCTGAGCTAAGGGGACACACACGCACCTGGACCCTCCATATACCCTGAGGTTAGGGGGCTCACACACACACGCCACGGAACCCTCCACACCCTGAGGTTAGGGGGCTCACACACACCTGGACCCTCAGTGCTTTGGCGACTAGCCTGGAAGTTTGTGTGGACACAGGAATGTAGCTGTGCGGCCACAAGTTCACTCCTGGCTCTCTTGTGCCACAGCGCAGTGGCATGTAGCCAATGAGCAGTCCACTGACCACACATGTGCTGGACACCACCTCGGGCCTTCCTGCTCGGGGCCTCTGCCTCCGTTTGTCCCGGCTGGAGGATCTGGGCGAGCAGTGGATGGAGCTGAGGAAAAGGTAGGCAGGTCTTGGGCTAGCTGGAGTTTCAGCTTGCCTGAGCCGACAGCACAGGGCCTCACTGGTTCCCAGCCAGCTGAGGAGGGTGGGCACTGAGGGCTGCAGGGCTCTGTTTCCTCATTTGAAAGCCCCAGGACAATGACAGTGGCTGGCTGGCAGGTGTTTCATTCACCCTGCAGCCTCACAGCCCCACGAGCTTGCAGGACTAAGACGGGGCTCTGTACCCGAGTGTCATGCCCAACAACCCAAGCGGGCTAGGCTGCTTGAGGCCTGAGTGGAAATCAGAAAGGCCTCATGTCATGACAGGTAACTGCCAGGCAGCAGGCTGAGCACTTAATTTCTGCTGTTTCTTCCCCATGCACCCTGCGGGCAGCAGCACAAAGGAGGTGGAGACTGGGATTCCAGCCAGATCCATCTGGCACTCTGGGCCCAGGCTCTACCATGTTACACAGCCACATGTTACATAGTCTAGGCTGGGTGGATTGTGGCCCCACAAGCGAGTTCCCCAAACCCTTCATCTTGATGGAGATTTGAAAGAACAACAGTGACACCTCCCATCTGTTTACTCCCCTAGATGTCTGCATTAGCAGGATGGGAATTCAAATGCAGGTCTCCAACCATGTGAATGAGCCCTCACGTCCAGGGTATGCAGCTGGACTGAGGACAACCCGGATTCGAGCCCAGGCACTTTCATATGGGACACAGCCATCCCAAAGCAATGTCCTACCCACTGGGGCAAATGTGGACCAGCCACCACGCTCTAACCACAGTGGAAACACAACTTTAAAGAGGCCAGAGTTGTGGCCCAGCAAGTGAAGCTGCCATTGCTATGCTTGGCTCCTGTGTCAGGGTGCAATTTCAGTCCCAGCTACTTGCTTCCAAACCAGGTTCCTGCTAATGCACCCAGGAGGGCTGTGGTGGATGGTCCACCCATCCTGAAGACAAAGGTAGAGTTCCCAGGCCCTGGTTATTACAGCCATTTGGGGAGTGAACCGGTGGAAGATCTCTCTCTTGCTCTGCCTTCCAAATAACTCATCTAAAAGTACAATGAAAACAGCAGCTGTTTGGAACAACCTGAGGCTCTGCAGAGGTCACACAACTTGCTCACTCGCTATGGACACTCTGTCCTGTGTTGCAAGTGGGACTTGCGGGGGCGGGGGGAGGTTAATGTTCAATCCAGAATGTCATGAGTTATAGAAAAGTATGAATAGTATCATCTGTTTTTTAAGTTGTTTGTAATTAAACATGCATAGAGAAAAATTTAAACACAGGTCAAGCATACAGAATAATGTGGTGCTCCTGTCATAAACCACAGGAGATCAACTGCCACTGTGCTTCTCTATATTGTGATTTCTCTTTTTTAAGGTTTATTCTTTAAAATATATAGAAGAAAACACAGAGAGAAATCCAGGCTGTTCACTGGTTCACTCCCCAGAAGGCCGAAATGGCTGAGGCTGGACTAGTCTGAAGCCAGGAGCTTCTTCTGGGTCTCTCATGGGTGCAGGGGCCCAAGGCCTTAGGCCATCTTCCACTTATTTCCCAGGCTATTAGCCCAGACATGGGTCAGAAATGGAGCAGCTGGGACACAAACTGGTGCCCGCGTTGGATGCCGGCACCACAGACAGCAGATTGACCTACTACATCATGGTGCCAACTCTGTATTTTGATTTCTTAGTGGACATTACTGTAGCATCTCTTGACTGCTCCAAAGCCACAGACCCTGGAAACCATTCCAGTCTTCTGCTCACCAGGTCTGGTCAGGTTGTACTGAGGCCTCTGGGGCTGCATGTCTAGGGGGTGGCCACTTACCACAGCTCTACCACCCTGTCCTCTCTCCAGCTACACAGATCCAGATGGCCGCTGCCCTGGCCTCCTGAAGCCAGGCCAGATGAAGGCAGGCACCTACAAGCTGTCGTTTGACACTGAGGACTACTGGAAGAAGAGGGGGCAGGAGAGCTTCTACCCATATGTGGAGGTGACGGCCATGGCAGGTTGTAGAACTGGAGCCCAGACCCTGCTGGCTGCACCTCAATTCATGCCATGAGCAGCTACTTCCCACTTCTCCCAGGGTGGTGAGCTCACCTCCCATGGGCGCCCAGAAACAAAGGTGCTCAGGGACCTGAGGCGTCGTTAGCCTGCTGTGCTTGTTCCTGAGCTGCCCCTAGGTCAGGTTTGCGGGAGTCTAGGCTGAGGGTGACTCACCCTCTTTCATCCAGACTCTCACAAGGCCTAACCTTACTAACTCCTTTATTACAGGAGCTGCCATCAGAGCACCAGGCATTTCCAGTTCTGGACATGCCAGTGGAATCAGAGGCCCTGACCACTGCAGGCCCCCTCCAAGTAGCACTTGCCCAGGGAAGCTTCACCCCATCCTCTGCCTAAGAGGACTAGGGTAGGCAGCTGTCAAACTCTGGCCCCTTACCATCTTCTGGTGTCTTCTTTGCCTCTCTCAGGTTGTCTTCACCATCACAAATGAGACCCAAAAGTTCCACGTGCCTCTGCTGTTGAGCCCATGGTCCTACACCACCTACCGAGGGAGCTAGAGCTGAGTATGGCACAGGGAGGTGGTCTGACCCAACCAACTTCCACAGAGGGCCAGTGACCATCGTGGGGGACTGGGATCACCTGCTTGCTGGGGGAGACTCTGTCCCCCTCAAGTTTCCCTTGGGTGTCAATAAATTCCATGTTGCCATCTACAAAGCCACCCCAATCATTGTGTCAGAAGTAATGCAGGGGGTAGTGCTACGTTGGCCTCAGCCAGTGCACAGGTGAATGAAGGGCCCTCCAAGCACTGCTGAGTGTGGGTGGAGGCAGAAGTGGAGTGGAGACCGTGGGCACCAGGGAAGAACAACTGGGACGTGGCGGGCTGAAGCTATGCAGAGCCAGGCAAGAAGACAAGGCCATGTGGAAAATCTTCATCGGCTGCTGAAAACCCAGACCGAAGCTAGCTTCACAGTGGAGATTAGGACTGGGACGATCATGTGCAGGCCGGCACACAGTAGAAAAGAGAGCGATGGAGGGCCTTGGGCAAGGCAGCTAGGTCGGCGAGCCCACGAGTCCTGCAGGGCCTTGGCCCAACGTCTGTCCAATCACAGCTGTCTCCAGGGGCTTGAAGCCCACGCTGTCCAGGGGGATCCCAAAGGCCAGCAGTTTGGCCTCGTATGTGCGCAGCAAGTCGTTGTGAGCCTGTGGGGACACAACAGCATCAGGAAATAGAGGGAGTGCCCCAAACACTCTGGTCCACTCCCACGTTCAGCTCCCAGGGGAACCAGGGAGGGTAGGGATGCAACTGGCATCACAGGTTGAAAAGAGCAAGGACACTGACCTGTGTTACCCTAGCCAGACCTGATGCTGAGCCACGTGCATCAAGCTGGGTAACCCTCACGGGGAGATGACACCTCAATCCCGTTTCCCACATGGCAGGGAGACATGCAGGCAGTGCTGACTCTGCAGGCCCATTGGCCTTGGCCCAGAGACTTATCCTCCACTCCCTACCTTTGTGGAACAGCATTTGCAGCCTGCTCTTGGGGGACTCAGCACGCCCTCCCTCCCTCCCTAGGACCCATACTATCTTCACACAAGGGCAAGGGGCTGCCTGGAAAGGGATACCACCCCCAACCCAGCCCAAGAAAGGAGGCTTTGGTGATGGCAAGGTGGAGCTGGCTGGCATACACGATGCCTTCCCAGCAGCCATGCCAGGAGTCTCTGCTTCCCCAAAGGAAAATGTATCTTGGTTAAAAGGGAAAAAAAAAAGGCAAGTTTCATTGGCTGGCTCAAAGACATGACACGTGTGATGGATAAGGAGCCTGAGTAAACACACAGATGAGTTGGCCATCTACTGCTTTGCACAGAAAAGAAGGCCAGGTCTTAGAACCTGACTTCCAAAGGGTCAACAAGGACAGATCTTCCAAGAGAACATAGGGTGGAGCCCCAGACCTCACACTACTCAGATCTCCTGGGAATCAGGTAAGAGCCATGAATATCCCCCCAAAAAACCTGCACATGCCAGGAGGTGGCACACCCAGCATCCAGGGGAAAGTTGTGGATGGTGGGAGGAAGTTGGGGAGAGCAGAGAAGCCCAGATGAACTGAGCTTCAAATCCATCTTGAGGTTCCTAAAATACCAGCAACACAGACATGTTGGGTGCAGCCCCAAACAAGAGAAACAGGACTTGGAGCCCTTAGTCACACTCACAGGGCCGCTGCTCTTGGTCAGTCTCAAGTGCAGGCAGAACAGCCAGCTAGTCTCCCTGGCTGAGGACAGCAGGGGAACTCAGGTACAATGGGACAGATGAGAGCAGGGCCAGGGTTACTGGCAGGGGCTCTGACCCTCACCCTCTACTCTGTGGAGGGGATTTCTGCACAGAAAGTGGACAGAGATCCAATGGGTTTCCTGAGGGTGTGAAGAGCTTAGACCTGTGACTGCCCACGCTGGCAGGACAGCAGGCAACCATCTGCGAGACAGAGGTGAGAGGCCAGAGCAGCACCACGGTTGTGTCAGTGGGGAGAAGGGATGGGGAGATACGAGGGCACACCCCAGGGCAGGAACCAGGCATGTAACACGTGTGCTCCCAGGCCATTCTCTGCACCTCCTCAGACACAGTGTAGACCAGCAACAGGTAGGGTCCTCAAGATGGCCCTGAGAGGTGGCCAGAGGACCTGTCCATACCTTGCAGACCCGAGCCAGCTCATACTGCAGGTCCTTGATGGTGCTGTTCTTCGATTCCAGAACATCCTGAGGAGAGAGGCAGGCAAAGCTTGATGCTCACCTGTTTCCCCTACACACCCACACTGATGTGTCAGGAGCAAACAGGAGGGCAGGAGTGCACTCGTGCTTTGTGCCTCCACAAAGAAAGCATGCTGACCACTAAAGCAGAAGCTCAGAAATGGACAATCCGTGCAAGTCTGGTCATTCAGTATCAGTCAGGCACTTCATAAATTCTTGGAACAATGTGGACACATCATCCAGCTTTTCAGGGAGTCCAGTCCCCTTGGGAACAAAACCCCATACAGTGAGGCCACTGGGGGTCGGCACCTAAGTGGCACCGTGGGTGTCAGAGTTGAGTTCACGGACTGACCTGGCCCCAGAACCAACACTGCTGCCAACCGACCACAGCCCACAAGAAGCTCCTCTACCCTCCCCACCAGCCCTGCCTGAGGGACTGTGCCCCTGAGTCCTGGTCACTTCTCTGGATGACCTGTCACTCACCAATGGTCAGCACAATGACCAGCAGAGGCAGGAGCTGGCCCAGTTACAGTCAGCACCCCTGGCAAACTGGCCAGCATGCTGTCACTGATTTTCTCCTTCCACTGGCAACACAGGGGCCTCACCGCTGTGCTGAGAGCTCAGCAATGCAGCTGCTCCTAGTCCTGCCTGGACCCGCCATGAGAGAACTGAAGAGCCCAGGCCACGCAGATTTCGAGGGCAACTCGCCCATGCCCAGCCTGCTCTAGCGTGGTACTTGAACGACAAGAACCGGACATGAACTGGAGCGGGAGAGGCTGAGGTGATAAGGTACCGTGAAGGATGGCAGAACAAAATGGATGCATCAAAAGGGAGGTATACACACCAGCTGCTCCCCTCTGCCTGTTTCAGACCTCCCAGAGACCACCCCCCACCCAGCAAGCTGAGAGGTCTTGGCCCCCCCGGCAGAAAACAGGAAGGAAAAATGCCACCTCTCATGCAAGCCACCACTGGCCACCCTGGCCCTCCTCAGAAGCCTACTCGGGGCCTACCTCAAGTTTGCGGGACACGAGTGTCAGGGTTGCAGGGTCCAGGTTGGAGGCTGCCAGCACCTCGTTGAACTGCACCTCCCTCTTCTCCACGGCGGCATTCAGGGCCTGCAGCTTGCGCTCCAGCACCAGGTTCTTGAAGCCCGTCTTCTGCTGCACCTCTTGGATGGCTGCAGTGAACTTGTGGTAGAGCTCATCTCGCTCTTGTTGTACCTGCAGAGAAGGAGGGGAGGCAATGAGGCCCCTTACCCGGAGACGTGTCACTGGGTGGCAAGTCCCTTCCCACCTTTTTTCATGGGGGCACCCTCATACCACCTATACCCCTCTGCTCCATGCACAGAATTACATAATTTTTTAAAAGATTTATTTATTATTATTGGAAAGTCAGATATACAGAGAGGAGGAGAGACAGAGAGGAAGATCTGTCCGATGATTCACTCCCCAAGCGCCACAACAGTAGGAGCTGTGCTGATCCGAAGCCAGGAGCCTGGGGCCTTCTCCCATGTGGGTGCAGGGTCCCAAGGCTTTGGGTGTCCTCGACTGCTTTCTCAGGCCACAAGCAAGTGGCTGGATGGGAAGCAGTGCTGCCAGGATTAGAACCGGTGCCCATATGAGATCCCAGGGCATGCAGGGCAAGGAGACTTTAGCCACTAGGCTACTGCACCAGGCCCTTTGGTATGATTCTTTGCAGAATCTACACATAAAATAATATTTATCAGACAACCTCAGAAATGCATGTTAGATTAACTGTTACCCACAATAACAGCAGCAATGTGGGAGCAGCCAAGGAAGGTGCAAAGAACAGGCTCCTCAGCCACTCCTGGTGAGAGTCTCAGAACCAACCTCCAGCGGCTGGCATTGTGGCTCAGCAAGTTGAGCTGCCGCCTGGGACACCAGCAGCTCGTATGAATGCCAACTTCAGTCACAGCTGTTTCCTTCTGATCCAGTTTCCTGCTAAAGCACCTGGGGAAGCAGCAGACGAGGACCACATATCTGGGTCCATCACCCACGTGGGAGAACCAGATGGAGATCCAGGCTCCTGGCTTCAGTGGCTCAGCCCTGGTCCCTGCCACCACTGGGGAGTAAACCAGCACGCAGAAGCTTGCTGTCTCTCTCTCTCTCTGCTTTGCCTCTATCTATCTGTAACCCTTCCAAGTAAGTAAATAATTTTTATTTATATAAATTCTGTTTATGATGTTTACATAGTTGAGCAGGGTGGGAAGGGTCGAGATTTAGGGGAAAGTGTGTGAAATTTGTTTCCAAATTTTCTTTTTTTACTTTCTGTGTCTGGGGGAAGCGGGAAGATAGGGGAAAGCCACACACAGCCTCCCAACCGCCTCAGTACCTGCAGATGGGAAACGGCCTCCCAATGCTGTTAATTTCGTTGCTCCAAGGCTGAGGAAATCCTTCCAAGGTCCATTGGCTGACACAGTCCACCTCAGAGTCTCTATTCACCCAGATATTTGCCGTCAGTGCTTCCCTGAGGAAGCATTTGTTCTGCCCTCCTTCCTCTACTGTAGTACCTGTATATCCTCTGCAGGCCCCAGTGGACTGCCATAGCCTCTCTGCACATCTGCGTATTCATCCACTGCTCCAGCTAAGCCACTGAGGAGACACACAAGCCATAGTCTGACCACAGATCCTGTGATTCTCCCTATGGTTGGACTTGTGAGTCCAGCAGTTGGGGAATCCCCAAAGAAACCTCACCTGATGTGACTCCAGACCTGACTTACATATTCTTGTCAGTATGGGGTCGGGCCCAGTCCGTCACCCACATCAGCCCACGTACATACTGGCAGCTGCAATTGCTGTGTTGGTTCTGTCTCCAGCCCCGTCTCTAACATAAACTGATGGGTGCTACAGCCCAGCACAACCCTGCCCACTACACACATTCAGCCCACACATACACCAGCAGGAACTGCACCAACCCCCCAGTAGCTCCCACTGGGCCCAGTCCCAGCCCTGGTTCCTATAATTGCCAGTATGTGCAGCAGACTGGTCTGGTGTATGTCCCATACCACATTCAGCTCTCACACATGTCAATGTGTGCTGAAGCCTAGCTCAACCCAACTGACCCCACTATCCAGCCCACACTCATGCCAGTGGGTAACACCTATCCTTAGGTCCACACCCAGCCCTTGTTCTCCTGTTCACCAGTGGAGGGTTGGAGCCCAGGGCCCACTCCAGTCCCAGGCCTTGCATTCTTCAGACGGTTCTGCAATCTTGCTTGACAGGATTTGCCCTTAGTCCCAGCACTTGCCAGCTGATGCTGTGGCAAAGCCCAGTCAGCACTTAGTTATTTTTATACCGGCATGTACAGGAACCAGGGCTGGGAGCAGGCCAGGTGGAGATTACTGGGGGTTGCTGCAGCTGGACTACAATTCCCACTAGTGTACATGAGGGCACAGTGTGTGGTGTGCAGCAGCCATTGGTTTACATATGAGATGGGGCTGAGGCCAGAACTGATCAGGCAACTGCAACCACCAGTGTGTGTGTGTGTGTGTGTGTGTGTGTGTGTCCACCTGTGTGTGTGTTTGTGTGTGTCCACCAGTGTGTGTGTGTGTGTGTGTGTGTGTGTGTGTGTGTGTCCACCAGTGTGTGTGTGTGTGTGTGTGTGTGTGTCCACCTGTGTGTGTGTGTGTCCACCAGTGTGTGTGTGTGTGTGTGTGTGTGTGTGTCCACCAGTGTGTGTGTGTGTGTGTGTGTGTGTGTCCACCAGTGTGTGTGTGTGTGTGTGTGTGTGTGTGTCCACCTGTGTGTGTGTGTGTGTGTCCACCAGTGTGTGTGTGTGTGTGTGTGTGTGTGTGTGTGTGTGTATGTGTGCAGTACACTGATATTGGTGACAGACTGAGCCGTATCCCATACTGTCCTAGCACACACAGGACTCGGGTGCAGGGTCATCTCAGACAAGGTTTCTTTGCAGAGACCCTCAACTGAACCACTGGATTCAAAACTACAACCATAGCGGAAATCGCAGGATCTGTGGGCTGACCATGAAGTTCACGTATCAGAATGGACCTCCTTGGTTGATGACGACGGTAAAGTAAATGGCATGTCCAGATATACATGGGGGACATGACAGCCAGTTCATCGAGGCCTGCAGAGGACGGCTAGTACCAAGGAGAGCAGAATAAATTGAACAACTCTCCCAGCCGAACGTTGACAGCAAGCATCTGGGTGAATGGAGACTCTAGGGTGGACTGTGTCAGCCAGTGCTTCTTGGAAGGATTTCCTCAACCTTGGATAAGTGAGAGCAACAGCATTTCAGGATTATCAAAACCACTCGAGCAGTACCTTTGGAACATGCTCTACATCGGGGACCCTGGGATGACATCAAGTGGCTGTACCCCACCCCAGGTAATGATGCATTTAGGCTGCTGGGAGCAGCCCTCTCCCCTTCTCTCCCTTCCTGTCCACCAGAACAGGAAGGAAAAATATACTGAAAGCAAAAAAATTGTCTCATCCACTTTCCCCCACCTATCAATCCTCCCCACTGTAAGCAATGGTTCACATGGTTATACATCCTTCTCAGCTATGTAAGCATAACCAAAAATAAAATAAATTTATCAAAATAAAATGTAAAATTTGAAAACTTAAAAAAAAAACCCTCCAAATGTTCTCTACCACATTTTTTCACCACAGATCCTACAATCCAGATTCTTACTTAGAATCAACAAAAGCCTCAGTTACACAGGGGTACACTGGGAACTCTCATTGTGACAGCACTGCTAGCAACAACAAAAGACTCGACCCTGAGCCTAGGGCAGCAGCTTGGGTACTGGTTCATGTCCTGGCTACTCCACTCCACTCCCCATCCAGCTCCCTGCTTGTGGCCTGGGAAAGTAATAAAGGATAGCCCAAAGCCTTGGGACCCGGCACCCCCACAGGAGACCCAGAGAAGTCCTGGCTCCTGGCTGCTAATTGGCTCAGCTCTAGCCATTGCAACCATTTGGGGTATGAACCAGTGGATGGAAGATCTTTCTCTCTGTAGATCTGCCTTTCCAATAAAAACAAATAATCTTAAAAAAAAAAAAAGGTTCTGGAATCAGAGGCACTTCTTCAGGGAAATCAGCTGTATAGAGATTCATGCAATGTGTACAAAAGAGTGGCACAGCAGGGCAAGTTGGTATCGTAGGGGGCCCAGTAAGTCACTGGGACTCCGATTCCAATTAGGTTCCAGGATAATGTGCTTGGAAAACTAGTGCAATATGGCCCAGATACTTGGGCCTCTACTATGCATACAGGAGAATTCCAGGCTGCAAGACTGAACCTGCCAAGCACAAGCCATTCCAGTCGTTTGGAAAGTAAGCCAGCAGAAATAAGACCTCTTTCCAAAACCTTCATTCTGTCACTGACTTCATATAATAAATCTCAAAACATGGGAAAACATGAAAATATGAGAAAGAAAGATTTTGACTACTGAATTTTACAGCAGGTATATGTGGCTGTTTGATATCAGCAACCTGCATAAACTCTGGGATTAAAATTCAAGTAACGCTCTCTCTTCTCCTTCTGGCCTCCCTTCCCTCTCTCCCCTTCCTCTTTTTCTCTCCACCACCTCCACCCTGTTCCTGCCCCACTGGAATAAACCTCCTAAGATATAAATAAATAAATAAATAAATAAAATTCAAGTAACAGTTATAGCATGATTCAACAGTGAGTAGTGCTAGAACACAAAGGAAGTAGTGTGTGTGCAGGAGGACACACACAGCACTGTCTACAACACACACAAAGTGAAGCATGTGCGAGAGGTTTGCACACTGCCTCTTACCCAAGACTGTACCAGAGAACGTGTTCCTCGGCTCAATGGTCAACATTATTAAACAGCCCAACTTTTTTCTCTAGTGTTCACAGTAAGCCACCTATTATGAAGTCCAGCTTTGTATCCCAGAAACTTTAGAAAGTTATCAAACCAGAGCTGTTCTTGGCCCAAGGCCACCAGGAAAACCCTGCTGGTTGGCAGGAGTTTAGCCCTGGCTGAATGACAACTACAGCAATGTGCTCACCTTCAGGAACCGCTGCTCCAGCACTTCATGTTCCCACTGCAGGTCTTTCAACTCTTTCTCAGTAACTTTCAAACGTGCTTTTGTGCACTGCAGAGAAAACAGGGAATGTACACTAGAAATATTCAAGCATTTTTCAAATATAGGTTCATGAGAGGATAGCAAGGCCTGATGGATCAGAGGCAAGCAGCCAAGTTCCACTATGGCCAGTCAATACAATATGACACCCAGCACATTAACCAAGCAGAGATTTCAGCTTCCCAGCCCTTCTTCCTGCCTCCAGGGCAAAGCCCACTCAGGTATCTTTGACACCGGAAGGAGATGACGTGGGCAGGACACATACCACCAGGATCTGCTTGTCCCTCTCATAGTTCCCAAGCTGCTTCTGCATCTCACGCATCTCATCCCGAGCCTTTTGCAGAGGGTCTGCCAGACGCTTGTTCTGCACAGACACCTCTGCCATCTCCCTCTCCAGATGCTCTTCCTTCTTCCGCATGTCCTCCATTTGCTCCTGTTGACATAAGTACAAGTGCAGGAGGGGCTGTGCCCTGCAGAATGAGGACCAAATACTGTCGCTCTCACAGACATGTCTGGCCAGCTCTGCATGCTGGACACTCAGGCCTGTCTAAAGTACATGCCCAGTATTTGTGCATTGTGCTCACTCACTGAATTTTCTTAGGAATGCAGCTTCCATGAAAACTGACCGATGATACTTTGGGAGGCTGGCTTGCTGTATAAACCCTGCACAGCCAACTACCCGAGTACCAACACGCCATCCAGCCCAGCGCAGTGCACCTCATGCTGCTGCAGGTGCCTGATCCCTCTCATCCCACAGCACACTCTGTCACTTCTTACCTCCACACCCGTCAGGGAGACACTCTGACTGCTTTCAGTTAGGGTTGGAGGTAAGTTAGAATATACAGGCTGTGGACTCACACTAAGGACAGCAGAGGAGACTCTCAGCTTCTTGTAAAGGGGTACTGGGTCTGGGGTTGGGGTCTTTAGACAGGCAGACTGTGTCTCCCCAGCACCTTCAGGGAGTTGATGAGGGCCAGGTTGTTCAGGGTGATGTCATTGTAATAGTTCTTGATGTCAGTGAAGGCCTCTTCGTGGCGCTGCATCAGCGTATTAATTTGGCTGTTCTTCCTCTCCTCCACCTCGTGGATCTCAGTCTTTCTCCTCAGGTCGAGCTCATCCCGCAGCATCTTCATCTTCTTATCATACTTGGACTCGATTTCTGAAAGCCAGTAACACACAGCAGCTCAGAAGAGGAAGACAGGGGCCTGACCCCATGCTCATGGAGGCGAGGGGGTGTCAACAGGGCTGTGGGAAGACCTGGGGTTTGCCGTCCAGGCAGGCAGAGAGAGCCTGGGGATCTCCCCATGTGCATGGTCCATGGATTGATCAGGGAAGGGGTAAGGAGATGTGTGGGAGAGGGAAATCCAAGTACAAAGTCATTGTACTTGCAGGTAAGTGAAGGGGCTGAGATTGAGCAGATGGGAGGGTAGAAGCAGCAGGACTTTCATGGGTCAGACAGGTGAACTACACCATTTGGGAGATCAAAGCTAGGCTAGTTAGCATAGATTATAGCCCACCACCCACCGGTGCACACTAAAGCAAGGACTGGGGGCCTACCTGGCAGGGATAGCTCATACCACAGTGAGAGTCAGAACAGGGAATGGGTAATGTTAGCCTGGGGCATGACACTAACCAGCACGCAAGAGAACCAAGTCTGGGGGCAATGTGGGCCAACCCTGTGGAACTGCAACTTCCGTTGATTTGCTTAGGAGTTGGGGCTGGTGACAGGCTGAGCTAGGCATGCCCATGGAACTCTCTGACACTCACGGGTACCAAGTTTGGCAACAGGCTAGGCAGGTCCAGGCTACAGCACCCACAGGTGCAACCAAGAATATGGTGTGGGGCAGGCTGGGCTATAACACACACAGGCTCATACAAAGGCCAGCAGAGGGGACAGACTATGCCAGATAAGGGCCTAGTACCCACCATCACATGTGAGATCTGAGTCTGGGAGTGGGCCTGATGGAAGAACTTGGGAAACTCAGCTGTAGGCCACAGCTCCTGCTGGTGAGCATGTGATTCAAGCCTGGGTGTTGGTGACGTTGGGCAAGGTAGCTCCACCTATCAGCAAGTGTGTGGTTTGGTTCTATAGGGGGGACTGGTCCCTGAAGGCAGCACTAAGTTAATCTTAGCTTGCTAGCAACTGCAAGATCCAGGCTGGAGTGTGGGTCATGCACACCTACCGGTCTGCATGATCCAGGGATGGGAGCAGATTGGGCAGGGTTAGGCTGAAGATGGGTGGGCTGGGACGGGTCAGGCTGCAGCACCATATGGCAAAGACCAAGACAGGGGCATGGGCTATGCCAAGCTTGGTCAGAGCAACCACTGGCACATGCAAAATCTGTAGCTGGGAACAGGCCTGGCTAGGGTGCCAAGGGAACGCCCTAGTTAGGTTGTGGTTCCCACTGGTGAGTGCAAGAGCCAGAATGCGGGTGGTATTCTAGGCTGGACATGACTGTAGTATCCCTTGGCATGGGTATGGACTGGGTCTGGAGTGCTCCAGACTGGGCTAGATTACAGCACCTGCTGGTGCTCATGAGAGCCAGGCTGAGTATAGAATGAGCTGGGTTGTAGCATCAACAGAAAGAAATAGAACAAGCATAGGTATGGAATAGGTAGTTGGGCAAGGCCATTGTTCCTGCCAGGACAGCAGCCCTTGCAGGAGATGAATTTCAGATGGTGCCCTCAAGACTGAATGACAACTGTCTGCTGATAACCTGGGTGGTAAGCACAACTGCCCAAATGTGCGCATAAATCAGTTCTGCTGAGACGCTCAGTATCCACTGGCTTCAGACACTTCCAAGCCATATCTGTATTCCTGGGCTGTTTGGGTCTACTTTATGTACCAAAGTGAGCAAGCTCTGGGGGCCAATTACATCCTAATGGCAGGCTGCACAATGGGAATGCAAGAACTGACCTCGAACTTGCCTCTCAAAGTCGTTCCTCATCTTGGTAATCTCCTCAGTGTGTTTCTGCAGAGGTGAAGATCAGTTATTAGCAAGACATAGAAAAAAAAGTCTGTCCTTCACACTGCTCCTACTCCACCCCTGGGGCCAGCACAGCACAGACGAACCCTCTAACTCGTGCACCAGCATCATATATCTGACTGCTCCACTCTGGATCCACCTTACTACAAAGGGCCTGAAAGCAGTGGAAGACAGCCCAAGGCCTTCAGCTCCTACACCCGCTTGGGATACCTGGAAGAACCTCCTGGCTCCTGGCTTCAGAACAGCCCAGCTCTGGGTATAGCAGCCATTTCGGGAGTGACTCAGCAGAAGAGAGCTCTCTCTCCAGGCTGGGTTGGGCCAATTCACATTAGGGCCAGGTCTGGGGCATTCCAGACTGGGCTAGGCTGTAGCACTCACAAGCATGAAATAGAACTGGGGGCAAGCTGGGCCTGGCCAGGCTACAGCATCTGCTGGCAAACACTGAGTTGAAGCGAGCCAGACTGGGCTGCAGTTCCCACTAGTACACATAAGACTCCAGATGGTGAGCATGGAAACCAGGACTGGGGGCAGACCAGGCTAGGCAGGGCTATAACACCCACTGGCCTGCATGTGAGCTGTTTTAGGGGCAGCCAGGCTGAGCTAAGTGACTATACCCACTGGTGCATGCAGGAGCCAGAGTAAGCGCAGGCTGGTCGGGCTTTGCTGCAGCAACAGCTAGCAAGTGCTGGGACTAGGGGCATCTTGTCAAACTAAGACTGCAGATCTACCCGGAAAGTGCAAGATCCAGGGTTTGGAGTGGGCCTATTAGGGAAACTGTGGGTACCCTTCTGACAAGCCACAGCTCTTGCTACTGAGCATGAGAACCAGGGCTGGGCTGAGCAAGGCTGCAGCACCCACTGGTGTATACAAAAGCCAAATGGAATGCAGGACAGACCAAACCAATCTGCTACACATACCATCATGCACAGGAACCAGGGCTAGAGGTGGGCCTGGTGAGGTTATTGGGGGCTGCTGTAACTGGGCTGCAGTTCTCACTGCTGCTCATGAGAGCCGAGTGTGTGGTGGGCCGGGTTAGACTAGGCTGCAGCATCCATTGGTTTGTGCAAGAGATGAGGCTGGAGATAGAACTGACCCAGCAACTGCAAACAACAGTGTGTGTAGGATATTGTGGGTAACAGACTCAGCTGGGAGCCACACTGGCTGGCACACACAGGATTCAAGTATGGGGTCACCTTAGATGAGGTCTCTTTGCAGGACCCCGCAACTGAACCATAGGACTCAAAACTAAAACCACGGGGCTATACCCCATCTCTCTCCTTCTGATCCCCATCTCCCAGATATAAGAAGAAAAAGAAAATTGGAAATAATGGTCTCATCCATTTTCTCCTATTCCTCGAACCTCCCCACCCTAATCAGTGGTCCACATGGGCATTCATCCATCTCAACTATGTAAACATCATCAAAAATAAAATAAAATAAACTAAGAAAAGGGTCACTCTATCCCCATCCCCTCTCTGTAATTCTGATTTTCAACTAAAATAAACAAAGTTTTTTTTCAAGCCACCTCAATAAACCCTGTGCTGCCAGTGGGTTTCCCTTCCTTTTGAGCTTACAAAACAAGCCCAGAATAACATTTCCGTAACTTCCATATTTTTGTTTGTTTTCTGTTGTATTTGAGGCAAAGAGACAGTTTGTCTGCTGGCTCTATACCAGCTGGGCTACACTAAATCAATGTCACGAGCCAGTGGTCTCTCAGGTGGATACCAGGGACCCAGCTACTCGAACCATCGCTACTGCCTCCCAGGGGTCAACATCAGCAAAAAGGTGGGGTCAACAGCAAGAGGCAGGACAAGTCCAGGCACTCTGACATGACACACATTTCCTTTTGTTCTTCTATAAGAAAACAGTCCTTTTTTTGTTGGTTAAAGTCCTTGCCATGAACGCGCGCGGATCCCACATGGGCGCCAGTTGTAACCCCGGCCAATCTGCGTCCCATCCAGCTCCCTGCCTGCAGCCTGGGAATACAGTTGAGGACGGCCCAAAGCCTTGGGACCCTGCACCTGTGTGGGAGACCCGGAAGCTCCTGGCTCCTGGTTTCGGATCGGCTCAACTCCAGCCATTGTGGACACTTGAGGAGTGAATCATGAGACAGAAGATTTTCCTCTCTCTGTCTTACCTTCTCTCTGTATATCTGCCTTTCCAATAAAAATAAATAAATCTTTAAAAATATATAATAAAACAAAAAATTAATTAACACAAAGCTACAGTAGCCATACAATGTGCCACGAACACAAAGATGCCCAGAGAAACCAATAGGCTATAGTCGCTAATTCAGAAAGAAAGCAACTGACGTGAGCCAACAATGCCGAGTCCCCTCCATGGGGAAAGCAGCCTGTCTCTCCCCTTCTCTATATATCTAACTTTCCAATAAATAAATAAATCTTGAAAAAAATTAAAAAGGAAATGCTAAATCCCAGCCTTTACAATCTGAAGTTAATGTACCTTTCCTCTGCCCTCATTCTCAAAAGGCTCCTGGGCTTGCGTGGAGCCAGCTCACTGAGGCTTTAAAAGCTCACACGCTGAGGCCTCGTTCACCCCTATTCTTCACCTGGACCTTCTCGCAGGCTTACCTCTTTCCTGAGCTGTTATGTGCTAGCCTTGCCACCTGCTTTCTTCTGCCCTGGCACAAATGCTGCCTACTCAACTAGCCATTCCCAGAGCCTAGAACAACAACCTCCCTTGACTCCCAGTTCCCACACCTGCACCACTTTACTCTTCAACAATGCTCACCTCTTCAGCTCCACCAGACACACAAGTCTGTGACACGCTCACCGTGCACACCATCTCAGCTCCACCACACACACACAAGTCTGTGACACGCTCACCATGCACACCATCTCAGCTCCACCACACACACACGTCTGTGACACACTCATCATACACACCATCTCAGCTCCACCACACACACAAGTCTGTGACACACTCACCATGCACACCATCTCAGCTCCACCACACACACACACATCTGTGACACACTCACCATGCACACCATCTCAGCTCCACCACACACACACACATCTGTGACACACTCACCATACACATTATCTCAGCTCCACCACACACACACAAGTCTGTGACACACTCACTGTATACACTATCTCAGCTCCACCACATACACACACAAGTCTGTGACACGCTCACCATGCACACCATCTCAGCTCCACCACACACACACAAGTCTGTGACACACCGTGCACACTATCTCAGCTCCACCACATACACACACAAGTCTGTGACACGCTCACCATGCACACCATCTCAGCTCCACCACACACAAGTCTGTGACACACTCACCATACACACTATCTCAGCTCCACCACACACACAAGTCTGTGACACACTCACCGTGCACACCATCTCAGCTCCACCACACACACACACGTCTGTGACACGCTCACCATACACACTATCGTATGCATTGTATCTGTGCTTTCTAACTCCTTGATTAGGTATTTTGGCACAGGACAAACCACAGTTCTCATCTAACATGCACTCCATAAATGCATCTCAGTCTCTACCTAGAAACTTCCAGCAACCCTCAGAAAAGATCAACCACAGACTCAGACGTAGACTAGGGAGGCAGCACCGTGGCAGTATGGGCTAAACTGCCACTTCTAACACTGACATCCTGACAAAAGTGCCAGTTTGATTTCCGGCTACATTTTTTTAAAGTGGAAAATTTTTATGTAAGGAGGGAACAAAACAGGAGTGGTAGGTAAAAAGGAGTTAAGGACTGAGTCTGCCCTAACCCTAGGGTTAGACAGAGGGTATAAGTTGGAGCTCAGGCTTCACTCTTCTGGCTGCTCCACTTCTGATCAAGCTCTCTGCTAATGTGCCTGGGATAGAGGAAGACAGCCCAAGCTCTTGAGCTCCTGCCACCCACAGGGGAGACCTGGATGAAGCTGGATTCCCACGGTCAGCCACTGTAGCTATGTGCAAAGTGAACCAGCAGATACAAGGTCACTGTGCCTCTCACAAACAAGGACCCCGGTGCACTAGCCTAATGGCTAAAGTCCTTGTCTTGCATACAGGTACCAGCTCATGTCCCAGCTGCTCCACTTCCCGTCCAATTCCCTGCTTGTGGCCTGGGAAAGCAGTCAAGGACTGCCCAAAGCCTTGGGACCCTGCACCCATGTGAGAGATCTGGAGGAGGCTCCTGGCTTTGGATCAGCTCAACTCCATTGCAGTCACTTAGGGAACGAAGCAACAGATGAAAGATCTCTCTCTCTGTTTCTCCGTCTGTTTGTAAATCTGACTTTTCTATTAAAATGAATAAATAATCTTTACCAGAGAGCAGACATTCAGCACAGTGGTTAATATGCCACATGAAAAACCCACATGCAATACTACAGCGCCTGGTCTGAATCCCAACTCTCTGGCTTCCAGTTCAGCTGCTAATGCAGGGAGGCCTGGAATGAGTTTTGGGGTCCCAATTTCAGCCTAGCCCAGCCCTGAGAACAAACTAGCAGACAGAAAACTCTGTGTTTCCTTTATATAAATGCACATATCATTTTATTTTTTACTGGAAACGCAGATCAGATTTACAGAAAGACAAAGATTCTCCATCTGCTGGTTCGCTCTCCAAATGGCTACAACAGCTAGAGCTGAGCTGATCAAAGTCAGGTGCCTAGAACTTCTGGGTCTCCCACACGTGTGCAGAGTCCCAGGGCTTTGGGCTGTCCTTGACTGCTTTCCCAGACCATAAGCAGAAAGCTGGATGGGAAATGGAGCAGCTGGGATTAGAAACAGTGCCCATATGGGATCTTAGTGCTTCCAACGCAAGGATTCAGCCATTGAGCCATCACACCAGGTCCTGCCTGTCTTTCAAATAAAATAATATGTAAATAGGAATTATTTTTTTAAGATTTATTTTTATTTGAAAGGTGGACTTACAGAGAGAAGGAGAGAGAGAACAATCTTCCATCTGCTGGTTCACTGCCCAAATGGCCACAATGGCCAGTCTCAAGCCAATTAAAACCCAGAAACTAGGTTCTTCTTTCAGATCTCCCACATGGGTGCAGGAGTCAAAGAATGTGGGCCGTCCTCCACTGCTTTCCCAGCCCATAAGCAGAGAGCTGGATAGGAAATGAAGCAGCTGAGATGCAAACTGGCAACCATATGGGATGCCAGTACTAAAAGGCAGAGGATTAAACTGGCACCAGTACAAATTATTTTTAACAAAGTAAACTAGATGCTCATAAACGCAGCTTGCATGGGTTCACACACCACTAGAGCTGCCCAGCAGTTGACATAGTGCAAGTTTTACTGGTTGGCCTGTGGTTCCCTGCGCACATCGGTGATGACCTCTCCTAGCAAAGGCATCAGGACATCAGGTGTCAGCAGCATGACGAAAGAACCTCAAGTTATTTCTTGTTCAGCTCTGAGGCAGAATTATGCTCCAGGTCTCAAAACAAACTTGACTTATGCATTTTAAATAATACAAACAAAACCCTGTCAATGCATTGCAAAAATGCAGAGTTTTGACCAAAAATCAGAACTCTCACTGGTTAAACAATCGGAGTTCAGGCAGCACCAGGCTCCCAGCCCATGACTACCAGGCAGTCCAACACCTACCAGCCGCAGATTCTTCACCGCCACCTCACTGGCCAGCTCCTGCTCTCTGAGCTCCACCTTCAGTGCCCGCATGTCCTTGCGCAGTGCGCCCTCCTGTGTGCGGTGCTCCTTCTGGGCCAGCTTCATGACCACGGTGCCCTCGGCCTTCATCTCAGTCAGGTTGTTCTGGTGCTCGTACAGCAGATGCTTCACCTTCTGCTTGTACACCTATGTGGCACAAGGAGACCCGGCTGCTCATCAGCACCCACCTGCACGCAGGAGGCACACAAGAGGAGCTGGGCAGGTGCTTCTACAACAGGCTGCCAACAGGTCAGCAGGCTTCAGAGCCCATGACCCTTGTGCGCCACAGAGGCAACGTTCACTCAGAATCTCAAGCCTGGCCTGACACTAGATGGATGATGTTTCATTCCTTCAGCCTTACTTACGTATATATAGCACCTTCAGCTTATCAGGGCGAAAGGCACCACACACACACAGAACACAAGCAGAGATGTCCCAGCCCACCACAAACCTCCTCTGTGTGGTCACCTGGTGGCACAGGCAGGTTGGTCCCTCTCACCTTGATCTCCACCTGATGTCTCTCCTCAGCCTCCTCCATCTCCCTGTCTTTGTTCCGCAGCTCAGCCTTCTTCTCCTCCAGCTGCCTCCGTGTGATCTCCCAGAAGGTGTGGATCTTGTCTCGCTCCAGCTGGAAGTAGTTGCGCTCCTCTCGCTCCCGGTCCAGCTCCTCCCGGATGCGGCTGATGTGTTCCTCCACCTGCCAGGCACAGCTGGGTCAGGTGAGGCATCTAGCAGGGTCGCACACCCAGCAAGAGGCACGTGGACAGATAAAGGTAAGGAGGATAGTAGTAGCAGGATAAACAGAATAAACAGAATAAACAGAAGCTCAAAGTAAGGAGTTAAACCCTGAGGTTAGGGGAGCTCCAGGAATAGGACACACCCAGTGACTGGCCAACTTCTCTTGAGTTGGACCAAAAAATCATAAAACAATGATGGTTTTCCATCCATTAAAGCCTGGGAATTCATACTAAGGAAACATGTCACATATACGAGCTCAGAAGCTCAAAGGTATTTAGTCTCATTGCTATCAAAATAATGAAAATATATAGACAAAGCAGAAAATGAACCAAGCAGTAAAACTGCTGGAAAATTTGTTTGTCAACTAGAAGCAACATGACATGGTCCAAAAAGTACACAGGCAATAAGCATGTAAACATGTCCACAAGATAACATTAAATGAAAACATATTGACTGTCATAGATCAAACACTAAATAAAAAAGAAAACCAGTAGACGCCTAATATAAAGGAGGGCTTGGTCCAGAGCTGATTGCAAAACTGCAAATAGGTTAAAAAGAAAAACTAGGACAGTCTTCTAGCTTTCTTGGGATCTCAATCCACTTTAGATTTAGTGATCTCTCAGGAACAACTCCAAGTCACTTACTGTCAGCTTTTCCCACAAAATCTTATTCCTCAGAAGAATCTATACATATATGCATTCTTAGATGAGCAACGCCAGGCTACACCATACAAGGAGGAGCAGCAGAGAGGAGTTCTAACGGGGCAAGGGCCTGGGTCCCCGTGAGAGCAGCTCCCCACCCAGAATCCAAGTGCAGCAGAAAATGGTAGATAGACTGTTTCCTATCTACCGACCCCTTTCCCCAAATGCTCCCACGCCCTGGACAGGCCCAGGCCAAACCTGGGAACTGGAAAATCCATCTGGTGTCACATGTCAGGGGCAAGAGCTCAATTACTTGGGCCATCACCACTGCTTCCCATGGTGGGAATGAACAAGATCCAGAGCTGGGTGTAAACCCAGCTACTCAACAGGAGACAAATGCCCACGTCTAAAAACAGCTTTTATATCAGAAAACCATTCCTTTCCCAATCTAATAGAAAGTTTTTTAATGTGGCTTTATGTATCACTGGTTTTGAAAGCTTTGAAGCTGACAGAAATTACGGACATAGCAGTGGCAGACTATGGGAGCTGGCCAAGTGGGATGGGGCAGGGAGAGGTTCATGAAGGTGCCTTTGAACGGGACCCCCCGACCCTGGGAGGAGGTGACAGCCGGATGCTCACCTGCTCCTTGCTCATGTCCTCTGGGGCGAGCCCATCCACAATCGGGGTGCCTTTGCCTTTGCCTTTCTTCCCTCTCTTTTTGGGAGCCTTTGTTTGCAGAAGAGAAGACAGTGTCAGGCTTGGTTGAAAGGCGATGAAGTGCCAGGGCCCTGTCCAGTGGCTTTCTCTTCTAGACCGGCTCTGCTCTGCCCCGCGAGTGCTCGAGAAGCCAGCCCCTGTGCACATCTTCCCCCTCTTCTGACACGGTCGTGCCCCCGGCAGTACTCCTCTGCAACACGTCCACCTGGCCTAGGTCTTCTGACCCTTAACCACAAACACCCTCCTGGTACATTTAGCAAGGCACAAACGAGAAATCACCCTTTTCAAAAGTGAACATTCTCTCCTAAAAAGAGCCCATCCTAAACCCATTCACTCCAGACTCTGGTACTGGAGCAAACATCGACTCAGGTTCACAAAGGAAGACTTGCAATACCACACTGAGGTAACCATGTTGGCTATATTGCACAGTGACTGTTACGGAAAGACCAGCAGGAAGCTGTTCACAACAGCAGCGAGAAACAGCCCAACCAAGAGCCACTGAGAGCAATCGCATCAGTCCTGGCTCCTCCTTCAGAGTCCGCACCCAGACTACAGGGTTCTGCAAGCGGGCCAGCAGCCTGAACCAGGTGTCACGCCGCCTCTCAACCCACAGGCTGAGAGAAGCCTCAACCCACAGCTGAGAGGCTGCTCGGCCCTTCATTGCCCAGCTTTGCTTCCCTCGTTCCCACCTCTCCGGCCACGTGTTTGTGCCTACTCCTCCCGGGAACATTCTCACTACAAAGCTTACATGGAAATTTTACAAAATGCCGAGAAAAGGAAAATCGCCCACATTCCCACAGCTACCGATAAACCGAAGTACTTATTTGGGTGTGGGTTTTTTTCCAGTTGTTTTTTCGAAGACCTACTAACTAATGTCCGGATACTAACGTTCTGTGGCTCTCCTTCCAATCCCTCTAATCCAAGAAGGGCCGTTGCTCGGGGTTTCCTAAAGGCTGTGGACGAAGACCCTGCAGCCCTTCATCCTCGGGGTCTCCCCTGAAGCCCTTCCCTTGGCATCACCGTCCAGGGCTCTGCAGAAGGCAGTGCCCAGCGGGCTGCATCTACCAGACACCGAGCCAACGGGCGGCCCCACTGTGGTACAGATGAGACACGAGGAGAGCCAAGTCGCCGCATGGCGCTCCGCTGGCCGGTCCCAGGGAAGGCGTGGCCCTGCCTCGCAGACCCCGAGACCGGAAAGCCTCCGTGGAGCCCCGGGAGGCAGGACCCGGGACCAAGCGGCGGAGCCTGCTCCGGGCCGGGCACCGTGCGGGCCAGGCGCTGCAGGCGGCGGGCTCCACGAAGGCCCTGTGAGTACCGGGCGCCAAGGACCGCGGCCGCCGCCTGCAGCGTGCACAGGCCGCCCGGTGCCAGCCCGGGCCCTCGCCTCCCTCTGCGGGACTCCCGGGCGCGGCCCCGGCCCCGACTCCCGCCGCAGCTCACCATGGCGCCGGCGGACAGGCCGCGCCGCGACCCTCAGACAACAGGGCAGCTCGGCCTGCGCCGTCTCCCGGCAACCGCTGGGCGCGCTCACGCGCACTTGGGAATCCTCGCGAGACTGCGCGAGTCGCGCCGGGCCACGGCAACCGTGGGAACGTGTCCTGGGCGGCCGGGGCGGGGAGGAGGATGGGGAGCACGGGGAGGACGGGGAGGGCGGGGAGGACGGGGAGGGCGGGGAGGACGGCGAGGGCAGGGAGGGGCCGAGGACGGGGAGGGGCCGGGAGGACGGGGAGGACAGCGAGAACCGGGAGGACGGCGAGAACCGGGAGGATGGGGAGAAGGACAGGGAGAACGGAGAGGACGGGGAGGACCAGGAGGACGGAGAGGACGGGGAGGAAGGCGAGGACCGGGAGGACGGGGAGGACAGCGAGAACCGGAGACGGGAGGCGGAGGACGGAGGACGGGAGAGGCGAGGACGGAGGACGGGAGGCAGGGACGGAGGACGGGAGGAAGGCGAGGACCGGGAGGACGGGGAGGACTGCGAGGACGGGGAGGACGAGGAGGGCAGGGAGGACGGAGCCGGCGCCCCTCGGGCCGGGGCCTGTGAGTCAGGACTGCCACCAAGGGATGGAGACTGATGGGGTGGACGCGTGGGCCGGGGAAGGCGAGCTCGTGGGAGAACAGAGAGTGCCACACGGGTCAACCCTGGCTTTGTGGCTCATGTGCAGGACGCCGCGGGCACTAACCGAGAAACCAGGTTTCACGGGAACAGTGAAATCTGGTGAAGACAAGGAGGCCCAGGATAAGAGAAAATAAATACTGGCTGTGACAACTCAAGAAGTTCCCAGGATTGTGATAGCCCCAAAGCTGACCATCTTTGCCTTTGTAGCGCCGGCATCTCATATGGGTGCAAGTTCAGGTCCCACCTGCTCCATTTCCCATCAAGCTCCATACATCCCAAATGGACGCCGTTTCATGTCCCGGTTGTTCCACTTCCCATCCAGCTCCCTGCTTATGCCCTGGGAAAGCAGTGGCGGATGGCTCAAGTCTTTCAAACCCTACACCCATGTGAGAGACCTGGAAGAGGCTCCTGGCTCCTGGCTTCTGATTGGCTCAGCTCCGGCTGTTGCAGTCATTTGTGGGGAGAGCCGATAGATAGATCTCGCTACCTCTCCTTCTCTAGGTAAAATTTGCCTTTCAAATTTGTGATCATTTGGGGAGTGAACCAGCACATGGAAGATCTTTCTGTCTGCCTTTCCAATAAAAAATAAATCTTAAAAAAAAAAAAGGCTCATGCAACTGCTCTCTTATGGAGAGATCCAAGCTGATGTTCTCTAGAGTAAAATAAAAGCTACTTCCTGGGCCTGGCGCGATAGCATAGTGGCTAAAGTCCTCACCTTGAACGTGGATTGGCTCAGCTCCAGCTGTTGCAGCCACTTTGGGGAATGAAGCATCAGGCAGAAGATCTTCCTCTCTGTCTCTCCTCCTGTCTGTATATCTGACTTTCCAATGAAAATAAATAAATCTTTAAAAAACAAAACAAAACAAAAGCTATTTCTTTTCCACACGTGACTATGGAGAGGTGGTCAGTTTCTGAGGTGAGCCAGCAAGCGAGAGGTCGTCTTCCCTCCCTCCCTCTCCCTTATTCTGCCTTTCACATACATTTTTTTCTTAATCTGAGTATTTAACATTTTACTTAAACATTGTGGTGCACATATATCTTTTAGAAAAGAAAACGGCCCTTCCTGCAGAGGCCCCAGCAGTGTGCCACCGTTCTCAGGGGTGAGGAACTAGAAACATCTTCCAGAGAGGGGGAAGCTGTCACTTTCCTCTCCTGACAGCCAACCATGTTCAGAGTGCCACACACACTCCAGCAGTCACCAGCCTGACCTGTCAACAGCCACTGCCTATCTGATGGGCACTTAGCTTGAGTGCTTTCAAAATGCCTTGCAACAAGTCTTTCCACATTTGTTTTGGAGATGGAGACTTCAGACCCTTACACCTCCCTACAGAGTTTTATTGGGGACACTGCCCAGACGGGCTAAGGTACTTCTCACCAACAGAGAAGGAAGTGCACTGGGTGTGCTTGGGACTCATGCCTCACACCATGAGGAGTCCTGCTGCTCACCCACCCAGGCACTGATTGTTCTTGGAAAGACTGAACTGACTCGGCCTGCACAGACCATGAGCTGTACTTGATTTATCGCACATCCTGAGTGAAGTCTGGGCAACCAGGAGCCAGGACTGCAGTACCAGGCTCTGTTGGCCTGACAGGGGCCTGCTCCTCAGTGACTGCGATGGGGAGAGAGGAGCTCCTGGAGGAGGCTTGGCTGGGCATATAGCAGAGCTGATGGCTGAACCTGTATCTGAGTGCTTCACACTGGTTGTGTGAATATGTTGCAGCTGTCTGCTTTTAAGTCCTGAACTAAACAAATACACTCAGTTTCTTGCAGCAAAAAGAGTAAGAACAAGAGGGTTAGTTCAGGACAGCCTGGACAGCATATTTATTTGTCACAAACCAACAACAGAGCTGGTTCAGCAGCGTGGATCACAGACATAAATAGGGAAGGAGCCCTGGCTGCCAACAGGGCCTACTGTGACCTGTGCTTTTAAAACAGAATTTGAGAGCCTGGTGCAATAGCATAGCGATTAAAGCCCTTGCCTTGAACACACCAGATCCCATATGGGCGCCGGTTCTAATTCTGGTGGCCCTGCTTCCCATCCAGCTCCCTGCCTGTGTGAAAACAGTGGAGGACGGCCCAAGGCTTTGGTCCCTGTACCTGTGTGGGAGACCTGGAGGAGGCTCCTGGCTTCGGATTGGCTCAGCTCCAGCTGTAAATTATACAGAAAATCCTCCCCTCTGTCTCTTCTCTCTGTGTAACTGACTTTCCAATAAAAATAAAAACGAAAAGATCCTCTTCTGAGCATGTGTGGCTTAAGACACTTTTATTCAGCATCAAGCTGTATAGCTCAAAAACCCAAATAAATGGCATCCTATTTTCCAACAAAATCCCAAAGCAAGCCTTAAGGTGTCGAACCAACTGACCCTTCTACAACACTGGGTTCTTCTAACACGACTGCCTGGTTGTCCAGGTTAACCGAAGACATGGACATCAAGGTACCAAGAATGCTTAAGGAGCTCATCCTCTACCTGCTGGTGCTGGCATCCCATATGAGTACTGGTTCATGTCTCAGCTGCCCCACTTCCCGTCCAGCTTCCTGCTTATGGTCTGGAAAAGCAGAGGAGGATGGCCCAGATCCTTGGGCCCCTGCACCCATTTGGGAGACCCAGAAAAAGCTCCTGTCTCCAGATTGGCTCAGCTCTGGCCATAGCGCCCATTTGCAGAATAAACTAGTGGATGGAAGATCTCTCTTTCATTATTTCTCGCCTTCTTTCGGTAAATCTGCCTTTCAAATAAAAATATATATATATATATATATATATATTTTTTTTTTTTTTGCTGGTCAGCATCTTTTATTGATTCCTCATACAGTTACTTGTCTTCAGGCTTGTTGAAGCAGTGGGTCAGACAGCACTTGCCGCAGTAATGCCTATCGAAATGGCCAACCATGAACACGCCAGCACTGCACCTGTCAGAGGGGCACTCGCGACGCAGGCGGCTGATTTTACCGTTCTCATCCACCCTGTAGTACTTGAGGACAGCCAGCTTAACCTTCTTCCTCTTGTGCTTGTTCTTCTTGGGAGTGGTGTACGACTTCTTCCTTTTCTTGACACCACCACGGAGTCTCAGCACCAGGTGCAGAGTGGACTCCTTCTGAATGTTGTAGTCAGATAAAGTTCGGCCATCCTCCAGCTGCTTGCCAGCAAAGATCAGTCTTTGCCGAACTGCAGGAATTCCTTCCTTATCCTGGATTTTGGCTTTTACATTTTCTATCGTATCCGATGGCTCAACCTCAAGGGTGATGGTCTTGCCCATAAGGGTCTTGACGAAGATCTGCATCGTGGTGGTGGCCCCACCGCAGATGGCAGATCAAAAAGAAAAATATATAAATCTTTAAAAATGTTTAAAACACTGGATTTTTGGGCCCGGCGCAGTGGTGCAGTGGTTAAGGTCCTCGCCTTGCACGCCCAGGATCCCATATGGGCGCCGGTTCTAATCCCGGCAGCCCTGCTTCCCATCCAGCTCCCTGCCTGTGGCCCGGGAAAGCAGTGGAGGACGGCCCAAAGCTTTGGGACCCTGCACCCGCGTGGGAGACCCGGAAGAGGCTCCTGGCTTCGGATCGGCATAGCATCGGCCGTTGCGCTCACTTGGGGAGTGAATCATCGGACGGAAGATCTTCCTCTCTGTATATCCGCCTTTCCAATAAAAAATAATAAAAATAAATCTTTAAAAAAAACCCAAACCAAAACAAAAAAACTACTGGATTTTCCCTTAGAGGTGGAATTCAAAAATGAAATGATACTCTGTGTACAGAATTTACTTCAATAAAGCTCACCTGCGAAAGGAGGTGACGGAGCATTGAGCTCAGTTACAAGGTGGTTAAGTGTTGGATCTGAGCCTTAAGTGGGTCGGTTGTGCAACTCTCCCTGCTTTAATGCGTTTGAAAATGTTCTTCATGAAACAGCCTCTGGAGTCAGCTGGGAACCTTTGACAAGACCCATCTGTCCCATTTATTCATCTCTTAGATTGACAGAAGTACTGAGTGATGTAGCTGCGTAGCAAGTAACCCTAACATACAGTGCCCCAATACAGTGGCTGCATGTGGTCTGCTCACACATGTCCCAGGGTGGACAACCCAGCTAGGTTCTATTCCCCAGCCCCTCCCAGGTCTATGTCCAGCTGTGGGCCTGTGGCTGTCTGCCAACCTCTCCCAGGCCTATGTCCAGCTGTGGGTCTGTGCCTGGATGCTGGATGCTGGCTGCGATCTGAGCTCTTGTGTGGCCTGGGCTTCCTCACAGCACCACACGATTATCTGACGTTAGTAGCAGCCTTCCTGGGGAGCCGGCAGCCTAGTAACCTCTGCCCCGAAACAATGCCCTGTGGCCAGTTCTGAGACATGTGACCACCCCAGCGGTCACCTGCCCAGCCACACCTCCCTCCTAGACCACCTATGGATCAGCTTCCTTCCCCCCCACCCTGTTGCTTAACTTCACCCCTGACTCTTAGGCAACTCCCAGCTTGTCCCATGGGCCATAAGATCTTTCCAGAATGTTTTAACCAGGAGTTTGCTATTAGCTTTATAAACTAAAGGAAGGTGGGAAGTACCCACACTCCCTTCAGAGAGGTCGTGGGCTGCCCGGTGCTGACTGCACTGCGCGTTTGGGGGGTGAAGCTCTGTGAAGGCAGCCTCGAGCCGATGCCTGCCTGCAAGCTGTTCCAGTGGAAATCCTCCCATCTCAATCCTCTGCCAGCCATGTCTGCCAGAAACAAACTCATGCTTCCCATGGTTTAACTTTGTAAAGAGTATGGGCTCGGACTTGCGGTGTTGCTGTGCACCTGGGGCAGTGACCTCCCTCTCTGGGCCCATGATCCGACTTGTAACTTCGGGTGCTGCCTGTGCACTACAGAAAATGACTGCCCCTCTGGACCCAGCTTCTTCCCCATTAGGTTTTCAGCGCCTCCGGAAGAATTACTGCGGCACCTGCGCCCAAAGGGCTGGCACAGGCCCTGGTGCGTGCCCTGGCACGGGCACTGCCTGCACCCGGCTTCAGCGTCTGCACCTCGGACCCTGCCCTCCCGCGGGCCTGTGGCCCGCCCCCCACCCGCCGCAGCAGCCCCCTCCCCCCTTTGTGCTCCTCCCCTCCAGCCCCCCGGCCGCACGCAGTCAGCCGGCGCGCGAACGCCGGAGCCCGGGCAGAGGAACGCAGGCCGGCGCGGGTGCCCGGCCGGGCTCCGAGGCCACGGGGCCGGGGCGCGTCGGAGGGCGCCGAGGTCGCCGGGGCAGCAGCGGGGCTCGCGGGGCCGACAGGGGGCGCGCGCGGGGCGGGCGGGGCCGCACCTGTCCTGCCGCGACTGGGGGGCGATGCGGAGGGGACCCGAGCCCGGGAGCAGCTGTGCGCCCCGCCCCGCGGGCTCCTCCCCGCCGCCGCGGCCCCCCGGCCGCTGCCCCGATGCTGTGCGCCCGGAGCCGGGGCCGCGCCGCCGCAGCCGCAGCTGTTGGGGCGCCCGGGCCGGGTGACGCCGCTGCTGTCGCCGCCGCCGCCGCCAGCGCCCCTCGCAGAACCCAGCAGCCGCATGGAGCCCCCGGAGAGCGCCGACCCGGGAGGTGAGTGCCGACCCAGCATCGGGACCCCCCTGCCGCGGCGCCTTTCCCCCAGGCCCACCGAGCCTGGCCCCAAGCTGGGGGGGCGGAAGAGGATACCCGGCCGGCCCCGCAGACTAGGGGCGCTTAGGCCGGTCCCCGCCCCTCGTACCCCGCCCCGTTCCTGGCTGGGGGACCCAGAGTTGTGCTCCGCGCCCCCTTTCAGCGGAGCCGGAGAGCTGGGGGTGTGGGGGGCGGGATTCAGTGCCGGCTTTCTTGTGGGTCTGCTTTGTTTGCCCCAGCCGCGACTCCGGGCAGACCCCGTCCAGAGCAGGTCCAGAAGGCCGCAAAGGGGCGTGGGACTCCGATCTTCTGCAGGGGACTGGCGAGGCTGCAGGTGTGGCCGGTCTCTCTGGGAGGGGATGTGCATGGCACACCCCTTCCCACAGACCCCGTGGGCTGCGGGGATCCTTGAGGACTGAGATCCTCTGTAAGGAAATACCCCATCCTCCCACACCCCTTTCCAGAAGGACTGGGGGATTCCTGGGTGTCTTGCAGGTCTCCCCGGGGAGCCCGCAGGTATGAGGGTAGCATGCAGAGCTTCCTCTGGAAGCCGAGGCTTGGGGGATGGTGGCCTGCCTGGGAGCCGGCTTTCAGTCCCCCTGGGCACCCCATACACACAAGGGCTGGTGGGGCAGAGCCCTCTCTGGCCATGGACAGTCCCAGGCCCTGGGCCTTCCCAAGAGCATCTTTGTGGGTTTGGGAAGGGATTGGGCAGCTCAGAGCCGTTCCTCACCCCCACTCCCGTCTCCCGTTTTTCCCCCCTCAGCTCTAGCAGGGTTGGGGGTGACTGTGGTAAGAGGAATGAGGAGCCCTGGGAAGGGGCTCAAGGCTTTGCTCCTCTTACTGCCTCCCTGAGGTTTCTGAGACTCCAGTGTACAGGCAGGGACGTCAGAGCCCAATTCACTGTGAAAACAAATGTTTTCCCAGGTGCCCACTTGGAGTATGTGGCTGGGGACCCAGCAAAGTGCACCCGGCAAGGGGCAGTAGGACCTCCCCTCCCCTGTCCCCGTTTCCTGATTTTGCCTGAGTGGGATCCCGGGAGATCTCATATGGGAACCAGGACTTGGGTAATCTGAGTTCTGGAGGGTGGGAACAGTAGGCTGGAGGCCCTGCCCCACTCCCAGGCCTTTTGGTACAGATCTGAACTCAGAAATGAGACCTAAAGGGTAGGGCTTTTGAAAACCTCCCAGGACTAACCCTGGAGGTTGTGGCTCTGCCCTCAGGGGGCTCTCAAGTACTGGGAATGCAGCTCAGTGCCACCAGCTCTTCCCTCCCAGCAGCTACTGGGTCCTCACCCACTCACTTCATTAACCACTTCTCAGCTCAGGGCAGGGAACATGAGATTTGGGCCAACTTCTCCCAGTCTGGAACGTGCTAGAAAATAGGTCAACAGCAAAGCACAAGGTGTCAGTAGTCAGCCCTGGGGACGCCTGGAGGGGCAGGACTGCAGAATCCCATTTTGGAGATAAGCCTGCCCTGTGGCCCCCAGCAGCACCCACACCTCACCCGACTGAGGTGCCTGCTCCAGGGATGGGGGTTTGGGCCTGACCTATAAACCCAGGCGAGTGAAAAGGGCTTCTGCACCTTGGCTTTCCTCTCAGAGGTCTGAGCTGGCCACGCCTCGGAGGACACTGCCTGCCCCAACCTGACTGTGGCAGGTCCTAGACCCCTGCCTTGCACTTGTTATGGCCCCGAGCTTAGCTGCTGCACAAGCCTGCAGGATACAAGACACACTCTTGTACCCTTAGTGGGGGACCCTGGGGCCATCTGGATTGCTGCCCCAACCCCCTCCCCCCAGCCCTGCAGATGGGCAAGGGAAGGCTCCAGATGCCCTGCTCACAGCAGAGTCCTTCACATCCTTTGTCCTCTGGATGGGCAATGTCCTTGCCAGGCTGGGTGGTGGTGTCATTTCACCTCTCAAGGATGCTCAGAAACCACATCCCAGAGGCCATGGACACACGGGAACTAGATACTCTGTGCCTGAGCCATAGCCACACAATGACACAGCATTTGGCGATGGAGATGGAGGGCCTGGGTCAGGGGGTCCTCACCCAGCCAGCTCTGCAGCTGCACCTTCATCTTACCTTTCAGAAAGCCATGGGTCCTGCCCAGTGACACCCAGGCTGCTGACCACTGTGTCCAGGGGCATAGGCCATCCCATCCCAGGCAGTGGTTGGTGCTGAGAGCCCTGGCTCCTGTTGTTGAACATCCTGGAATTCCAGACACACCCATGCGGCCTCAGGTGGCCAAACAGGTGATGATTGTGTGAGCTGGGACAGTGGTCATCCCTCTGACCACAGAACCACAGACAAGTGCAGCAGCAGCTCACTGGAGAACTACTCAGATATGGGCAGAAAACTACAGTAGGTCCCTCTGGTGCAAGATCTAGAACTGCTGAGGAAAACTGACATATCCACATTGGGCCTCTAGGGGATGGCCACACAGGGGGCTAGCCATGGCAGGAACCAAGGCAGGGGTGGAATGGTGGCTGCGGAGTCTTGTCCAGGTCACATGGTGCCTTGGAATCCAGAGGGCAGCACAGAAAGCTGTGCCTGCCTTTCATTCTGGAGACCCCTGGGCCAGGCAGCACCCCCTGGGTGGTGGGTGGCTGGGATGAGTGGCAGCTATGCCTTAAAAAGGGGTGAGGTGGGGCTGGCAGGGCAACAAAGGCAACCCAAGCATGGAAAGATACCATGGTGCCCCACATCCATCTACTTCCCTCCTTTCACTGGGAGAAGCAGGCCTTTGAAGTCAGGAAGGCTCCACAAAGGAGGGACAGACCAGGGGTCAGACAGGACTGGGGGCCCCAAGCTGATGGGACTTGCCCATTCTGAGCTGCACTGGACTCGGGCAGCCTCCATGGAGAATTCCCCATGCTCCCATAAGAGGCCCAGCCTCAAACCTTCTTGAGTTATTGCCAGAGCCTCAAAGGCCTGAGGTACCTACCTCTCTGGCCCCATCAGGGTAGCGTACAGGGACCCCAACCATCTGCAGCTAACACTGTGCCTTTGGTTGCAGAGACCGTTAAGCATGTCGAGGTGCCCCAAGCTGCCCTGGATGTCACAGCCTATGGGATGGGAGACGGCTGCCACACACCAGTGACAGAGGACGAGGGAGGGCCTACAGTCCCAGCCCCAGGGTTCCTGCAGGTCACAGAGAGAAGGCGTGAGTATCCCAGCTGGCATACTCTCTACAGAACCCAGAGCCCCAAAGAGTAAGCCAGGCAGCCCACAACACAGAAACACAGGGCTGAGCCCTCACAGAAAAGCTTCCATGAGCCAAGATGTAGTTCTTCATAATAAAAGCCATGAAAGGCTGTGGAGATTCAGGGGTGTACAGAGGATCGTGTGGGTCAAGGTTCAAACTGACCAAGCTGGCTTCATAGAAAGATCTGACTTGTGCCTGGGCCACAGGGAGATGCCAGGAAGACTTACCAGGGCCCTCAGCCCCACACGAGGGGACACAGTGCAGACCCACCAGGACCCTCAGCCCCACTCATAGGGGACACAGTGCAGACCCACCAGGACCCTCAGCCCCACTCAGGGGACACAGTGCAGACCCACCAGGACCCTCAGCCCCACTCATAGGGGACACAGTGCAGACCCACCAGGACCCTCAGCCCCACTCAGGGGACACAGTGCAGACCCACCAGGACCCTCAGCCCCACACAGGGGACACAGTGCAGACCCACCAGGACCCTCAGCCCCACACAGGGGACACAGTGCAGACCCACCAGGACCCTCAGCCCCACTCATAGGGGACACAGTGCAGACCCACCAGGACCCTCAGCCCCACACAGGGGACACAGTGCAGACCCACCAGGACCCTCAGCCCCACACAGGGGACACAGTGCAGACCCACCAGGACCCTCAGCCCCACACGAGGGGACACAGTGCAGACCCACCAGGACCCTCAGCCCCACACAGGGGACACAGTGCAGACCCACCAGGACCCTCAGCCCCACTCAGGGGACACAGTGCAGACCCACCAGGACCCTCAGCCCCACTCATAGGGGACACAGTGCAGACCCACCAGGACCCTCAGCCCCACACGAGGGGACACAGTGCAGACCCACCAGGACCCTCAGCCCCACACGAGGGGACACAGTGCAGACCCACCAGGACCCTCAGCCCCACACAGGGGACACAGTGCAGACCCACCAGGACCCTTAGCCCCACACAGGGGACACAGTGCAGACCCACCAGGACCCTCAGCCCCACTCAGGGGACACAGTGCAGACCCACCAGGACCCTCAGCCCCACTCAGGCGACACAGTGCAGACCCACCAGGACCCTCAGCCCCACACAGGGGACACAGTGCAGACCCACCAGGACTCTTTGCCCCACACGAGGGGACACAGTGCAGACTCACACAAGGCTCCTGCAAGCCCACGAAGGCAGCTGAGCCTAGGTTGATGGTATGCCCTCTTCCTTCAGAGCCCCTGAGCAGTGTCTCCTCTCTGGAGGTCCACTTTGACCTCCTGGACCTCACCGAGCTGACTGACATGTCTGACCAGGAGCTGGCCGAGGTGTTTGCCGATTCCGATGATGAGAATCTTACCAGTGACTCCCCGGCAGGTGAGGACAGCATCGTGATGTGTCGGGTTGGGGTGTGGGTTCATCCCCAATCTCAGCAATTTCTCCTCAGATGTGTGTTCAGTATCACCCCATCCACTATTCTGCATTTACATACCTAATAGCCAAGCCACAACAGCACCCCACTCACAGTTCTCTTTGCCAAGCTTCCACAGCTTCCTTTCCTTCCTTTCCTAAAAAGCAACAACAAACAAAAAAGAGGAACATTTCCTAAACCAAAGGCAGAGCATATCAGATCAGAACTCAGGATGGAGGTAGGAGTGTTCACCCAGATGGCTGGTAGAGTCTGCATTCTGACTCCCAAGACACCAACAGCTTCAGACTGCCAAGCAGTAGGTGACAGCATCAGTGCCAGCTGTGGTCACCAACACTACTCACAGGTCCAACTCAGGCTATGGTGCTGGGGAAGGAAAGGCAGCCAAACGCTCCCCCTGCCCTGCACATACAACAGCCTGGCCCAGTGCAGATCTGTACCAGCACACCCACACTTGGAATTCCACCCTTGGACTGGTTACTCACAGGGTCCTTAGGGTACTGTGAACACCCAGGTGTGACAGTGACTCCAGGTTGGGAGGATGAGTGAGCCTCCAAAACAAGCATAAATGCCTGGACCTAGGCTGGTTGCCACCATGCTCCACTTATGTCCCAGCAGCAGCCCTTCCCGGCCCTGAGGTCTGCACACCACATGTATGATGGGCAAGGACCAGGATCCAGGAAGCTGCGGTTCTGGTACTGAGAACTCAGAACCCAGTCCAGCCCCTGAGAGATATTCAGACTCATGACAGGGCTAAGGCAGAGTGCAGTCTATACTGGGCCACCTGAGAAGCTTGATAGAGACCTCAACAGGGCCACCGCCAAACCAAGCCAGAGAGGCAGATCAGTTCACACTAGGCAGCAGAGGAGCAAGGTGCAACCTAGGTGACAGTGGACCCCCACCCAGGCCCATAGTGCAGCCATTGCAGATTCCAGAAGTATCTGTGTGCCCGTCCAGCACAGGGGCCCCAGCAGGCCAGGGACAGGCTGGAACCACCCTGGTACTGCCCCCACCAAGTCCCAGCTGACTCCTGCCTGCCCTCTTTCCACTAGGTCTACACCCACTGCCCCGTGCCAGCTGCCTGCGCTCACCATCCTGGACGAGGGCGAGGGCTGAGCAGAACCGTGAGAAACAGCCCCTCGGCGATCCGGAACGAAAGGCAGCCATTGCGGACACATTTCTCACCATAGAGAGGCCGAAGGAGGACTAGCTTGTCCCCATCTGTCCCTGATCTGACACGAGGATGGGGCTGGGCCCCCAGTGTGATGGCAAATTCACACGGCCATGGACCCACTCTGCCCTCCCTGTGAGGCCTGAATCATTGCCTCCCAGCAGGTCAGCCCATAAGAACTACCAGAAGGGACTTCCTGCCAGCCATGTGTACAGGGCACAGTCCTGGGCCCCATCTCCCTGGGTGCCCCACACAAGCACAGCTAGTGGCCATGGGTCATGCTCACTCCTGAGCCACAGGTCAGGGATGGGAACGCTGTGGAGTCACTGCCAGGGAGCAAGGACAGTGGTGGTCTGGGCCTTGCAGACATCCTCATCTGTAGGAACACTGCTGTCAGTCACAGGAGTCTTGTATGGGCTCCGGAGGGGGGAAACTGAGCCCATGGGAGCTGCACAAGAACCCCCATGGATGGGAGATGGGAAGCACTGGGGTAAGCCAGTAGCTGCCAGGATATTCTGCTGTCCAGCAAATGGCTGGACCATCAGCCCCCAAGAGACCCTGTGGGCATCAGGGTCTTCTCCCCAGGCCCACTGCTACCATCGGTACCCACTTTTCTTGGTTGCTGTGACAAGCAAGGGTAACAACTAGGCCCACCTCCTGCCTCGGAGCCTCAGAAACCTCTTGGAGAGGGCAAGGGAAGGGAGGAGCTCGTCCTCTCCTGCACCTCATTCGAACATCCTCCACATTCCCACCATCCAGGTCAGCCATGCTCGGTGGGCCTGGAGTCCAGACCCGTAGGTCTCCATCCTAGCAACAGCTGAGGCCAAGATGTGTCCCCCCGAATGCGCTGGGAGAACCTGACGGGCATGTGGGCCAGCTGATCTCGATGCTGCTTTCACGCTGAAGGAAATAGTACAGACTTCTGGCTCAAGCTTGTGTTCCCTCCCCAAGCCAAACCCCCCTTGCCCTGCTCCCCACGAAGCACTCGGCCTAGGAAAACAGGGTCCCCCCATCACCTTCCCTGGACTCCTTGGGAGATGGCCTGGGCATGCTCAGGGCTCCCGCTGCTGAGCCACCCCGTCTCTGCGCTGTGATCCCCAAAGGGCCCAATCAGGTCTCCTGCAGTGAAAACGGTGCTGAGTGTCCTCCAGCTCCAGCACCCACACAGCCTATTCACAGAGTGGGATTAAAGCACCAACCTCACCAGAAAGCCTCATCTGCTTCTTCCTTTTTGGCTGACACCAGAACACAGAGTGCATGCTGCGAGGATGGTCAGGAGGGAACCCCACTCCTTGCTGCTTCTCAAGAACAGGAACCACTGAGACCCTGTTGGGCTGTGCTTCTTTGGGTTCCATCTTAATGACAAGTGTCCTGGATTTCCCATCCAAGAGCAAGGCACAAGGAATCCCAACGGAGTGACGATATGGGGCAGATGTGGTAGCACAGCACCTCAGCCACTTGCAATCCAGTACATCACTCTGGGGAGGCGGATTCCACTCCCCATCCAGTTCCCTGCTGATGTGCTTAGGAGGCAGCCCATAATGCCCCAATGTCTGCGTCTCTGCCACCTTCATTGGAGACCCAGATGGAGCTTCTGGCTCCTAGCTTTGGCCTAGCCAGACTCCGTCTGCTGTGGCTTTTGGAGAAGGAACCACAGATCTGTCATCCCCTCTCTCTCTTGGTCATTCTGCCTCTCAAAATGCAGCCCAGGCTGGTGGCAGGGATTCCTCTAGATAAGGGGCCTCTCATAGAGCCACTCCCAGGACAGTTCCAGGCCCAGAAACTTAAAGATGAAGCCACAACTCCTGCCATTTAACCCATGAAATGAGGTGATTAGGGCTGGCCCAGGAGGCAGCTAACATCACTCATGTGCTCCCAACCACAGCAGTTTCAACACAGCTGTACCTCACGGCTCTGCAGAGGGAAGCCAGTCCCATCCTGAGAAAACCCCTGACCAGGTCTTCTACATTTGTAGATGCAGAAATGCTCAAAGTCTGTGCTGGGAAGGGCAAGTGGCTTCTAATGCTCTGAAATGTATCCCATTCCACCTTCTCATGTGACTGACAGAGGAGTATGGGCTGAGAAACACCCACCTGTGGTAGATGGGCCTGTTCTCACCTCCTGAGGACTCCAGCACCTACTGCATGCCAGGCCCTGAGTGTGTGAGTATGCACCATCTGCACTTAGGCCCTGAAAGGTGCGTACCACCTACTGCACAGACCCTGAGTGTGGAAGTATGTACCACCTACCGTACACAGACCCTGAGTGTGGAAGTATGTACCACCTGCCGCACACAGACCCTGAGTGTGGAAGTATGTACCACCTGCCGCACACAGACCCTGAGTGTGGAAGTATGTACCACCTGCCGCACACAGACCCTGAGTGTGGAAGTATGTACCACCTGCCGCACACAGACCCTGAGTGTGGAAGTATGTACCACCTGCCGCACACAGACCCTGAGTGTGGAAGTATGTACCACCTGCCGCACACAGACCCTGAGTGTGGAAGTATGTACCACCTGCCGCACACAGACCCTGAGTGTGGAAGTATGTACCACCTGCCGCACACAGACCCTGAGTGTGGAAGTATGTACCACCTGCCGCACACAGACCCTGAGTGTGGAAGTATGTACCACCTACTGACACAGACCCTGAGTGTGGAAGTATGTACCACCTACTGACACACAGACCCTGAGTGTGGAAGTATGTACCACCTACCGCACACAGACCCTGAGTGTGGAAGTATGTACCACCTGCCGCACACAGACCCTGAGTGTGGAAGTATGTACCACCTGCCGCACACAGACCCTGAGTGTGGAAGTATGTACCACCTGCCGCACACAGACCCTGAGTGTGGAAGTATGTACCACCTGCCGCACACAGACCCTGAGTGTGGAAGTATGTACCACCTACCGCACACAGACCCTGAGTGTGGAAGTGTGTACCACCTGCCGCACACAGACCCTGAGTGTGGAAGTATGTACCACCTACTGACACAGACCCTGAGTGTGGAAGTATGTACCACCTACTGACACACAGACCCTGAGTGTGGAAGTATGTACCACCTACCGCACACAGACCCTGAGTGTGGAAGTATGTACCACCTACTGACACACAGACCCTGAGTGTGGAAGTATGTACCACCTACTGACACACAGACCCTGAGTGTGGAAGTATGTACCACCTACTGCACACAGACCTGTGTGTGAGGTGAGCGTGTACCACCTACTGCACACAGACCCTCAGTGTGGAAGGTGAATCTGCCACATGCAATAGGATGCTCTACAGTGCCTGCTGTTTGCCATCATGGTCAGGACTGAGGACAAGCTGCAAGTCATGCTAGAATGCACAGGAACAGACAGGAAAGCAGCCTACAATATTCACTTGGTGATAGAGGCTACCCCAACACAAGGCTGCTTCAATTCATACAAGGAACGATTCAGGATACACAGGGGAATGTGCAGCCACTGGGACCACACAGGTGACCAGTTCTGTCTGATGGGTCTGTGCAGCCAGCAGCCCAGGTAAAATGGAGAGGGTATGAAGCCTGAGGACCACCGTGAGAGGTGATGCCGAGGGCCTTGCCTAGCAAGATGGACTCCAGGCTCTCCTGTTTACTGGGTCAGTAACCACCAGGCTCACCGTAGAGGTCCCACCTACAACAAGAGAGCATTCCTTGAACACATGGCAGCACCCTCCCATGCCACCTCCCCAGGATGCCACACAAGGCTGAAGCTTGCCACTCATATTTATCCAAGTTCAAAAGAGACTCATACAAGATAAAAAGAAATGAAATTCACTGCAGTAATGCAAGAATTTTTTTAAAAATTTTATTTAACTTGAAAGTCAAAGTTAGAGAAAAATAGTTATTGGGGGCGATTATGATACTCACTTGGCTAATCCTCTGCCAGCAAGCACCAACATCCCACATGGATGCCAGTTTGTGTCCCATCTGCTTGTGGCCTGGGAAAGAAGCAGAAGATGGCCCAAAGCCTGGGGACCCTGTACCCACGTGGGAGGCCCGGAGGAGGTTGCTGGCTTCAGATTGGCTCAGCTCCGCTGTTGAAGCCATTTGTCTCTCATTCTCTCTGCAAATCTATCTTTCCAATAATAAATACATCTTTATAAAGAAAGAGAGGGAAAAAAAAAAGCATCTTCCATTCACTGATTGACTCCCCTCAAAGGCTGTAATAGCCAGACCTTCTGCCTGGTCTCCCACGCTGCAGCAAGGACTTGAGCCATCCTCGACTGCTTTCCCAGGTCAGAAGCATGGAGCTGCATCGGGAAGTGGAGCAGCTGGGACTTGAACCAACACCGATTTGGAATGTCAGCAATGCAGGTAAATTAGCTTGCTACACCACCGTGCTGGTCCAAGAATAAATTATCAGTCTCTAATAACAAAGAAAAACAAACACTAACCATTTCTTGTCTGAAATAATTTTAGTAACTGAAAATACTGCCACTTCAAAGAATTTTAAGAGCCTGGCACAATGGCTCAGTGGCTAAACCCTTACTTGCACTCCCAGGATCCTACATGGGCACTGGTTTGTGTCCTTGCTGCTCCTTTTCCCATCTAGTTCCCTGATTATGGCCTGGGAAAGTAGTACAGGAAGGCCCAAAGCCTTGGGACCCTGCACCTGTGTGTAAGACCAGAGGAAGCTCCTGGCTCTCTGGCCAGCCCAGTCCTGGCCATGGAAGGTTCTTGGGAAATGGCCCAGCAGAGGGAGTACTCTCTTCCAAGTAGGTCATTTATTAGATTTATTAGAGATGTGTTTATTTACTCGAAAGTTTGTTACAGAAAAAGGGTGGTGACAGAAGTTACTGCCTCTGGGTCCTCACCGGCACGTGTGGCTCCAACAGGTGCAGGGGGAGGTAGTACTGAGGTGGCCGCGAGGCCCAAGCTGCAGTCCAGTGGCTGCTCACCTGCCGCACGACGCCAACATCCTGCAGCCCAGTCATAGCCGCTTGTCCCTTCCGGAGTCACCAGGACGTAGACATGACACATCTACCACCGCTCCTCCTCAGGCACCAGCATGTGTAGGCGCAAAGCAGCGAGTGCCAGTGCATGGAGGTACGCTCCTGTGCCGGAGGCACCACACGTGCGCACCAGGTGCTCCTCTCCCGCCTGAGACGAGTCCCAGAGCTTGCCCAAACAGCTCAGCCCAGCAGCCCACTCAGGCCAGGTATTGGGGGATCCCCAGTGCCTTTAGACATTGTCACTTGGACATGCTAGTAATGCTGATTTCGGGAACCCACCCTAGGAAGCGGCTCCCAGAAATGAACACTTCCTGTGCCTGTCCCATGCCTTTGGCAGTCCTGCACTTGGTGTAGACTTGTGACTTGGGATGTGACCGGCCAGGGATGCCCCATCATGGAAGCTAAGGGACTTGCCACCTCAGTGGCTGTGTCTGGACCCACAGGAACCCGTGACACTCTAAGGGAACACAGTCACGTCCCTAGGAACCTGTGCCAGCCTTGGGACATGGCCAAGTGCTGCCTAGAGCTGCTGTTGGTCCAGCCCAGCTTCCTGCTCAAGTGCTTGGTTCCTGCCACCCGCATGGGAGACCTAAATGGTTTCTGGCCCCTCATTTTGACCTTAGCTTTGGCTGCTGCAGGCAGTTAAGAAGTGAACCAGTGGGCAGGAGTAGGCCTCTGCTCTCTGCCATTGCAATGCAGTCGATTGAGCCACCACCTGTGATAACTGCATCTTACTTGACGGCTGTTCCCCTCCTGATCCAGCATCCTGCTAATGTGCATAGGAAGCCACAAATGAGCCCAAGTCCTTGGGCCCCTACACCCATGTGAAAGATCAGGTTAGAGTTCCTGGCCTCTGGTCCTGGCTTCAGCCTTTTTTCAGAACTTTTGGCAGTTCTGGCCACACAGAGTGATCTACTGAATTATCTGCCTTTCAAGTAACTAAACTTTTGAAACAATAAGACCCATTCAAGAGCAGCGGGAAGGTCCTCTCTGTGGGCTGGCCTGACAAGCTTAAAGCTGCTGCCAGGAGCTGCTTGGAACCTTTGCTCACTCAGCTGCAGTTTAACGAGCCCTTCAGCTCTTCCCACAGAGGGTGCTAGAGACAGACGACCACCCTTTACTCAGCTTTCTTGCATTGCAGGTGCAGCACACAGTGCCCCAGGAAGTATGTGATGCCTTCTCATGGGAGTGAAGACTGAAACACGCTGTCCCAGCTCTCAGCCTTGCTTCCACACCAATGCCACGTCCCTCCCTAGCCCTCTCTGGATGAGCAAGCAGTGTGCTTTTCTTCTGAATTGACTCTAAGCTTTGTCCCAGACTCACCACACACAGTACAGTGTAGAGGATACCTATTTAATGAGATAATGACCGTGGCACTGTCCCAGCTTTCAAGCCAGCCTGCTGCAAGCTGTGGGACCACACTTGGCTGTGCTTGGGCCAGGTGATACAATTCCTTGCTAGGTCCTTCACACCCTGCTGTGGACTCTCAGAAAGGCAATGCTCATGATTCAGTTGAGACTCTAATCCAGAAGGGTCAGACAGAGATAAGGTGCTGGTGCAGGCGGCATGGGAAGGGGTAATAAAATGTAAGTCCTAGCCTTCTGTCCAATAAATGCCAACATATCTTCTGTAACAGGAACAATATGATGTTGATTACACAGGAGACATCCACTTGATGGGGCTGTGTTACAGAGGTGAGAAGTGCGCAGGTTTGCAGTATAAGAAAAGGGCATCAGGCCCTAAACCCCTTCTTAGACCACAGAAAGGGGAAGTCCGCCCTGACTCAGCCTCACAACAGACTCTTAACAGGACTTCACCAGACTTGCTCCCACTGTTCTCCCCCGAGACAGGTGCCTCCTGCCACCTCCATTTTCCAGAGGTCTGGCCTGAACAGCCACCTGAAGGCAGAGGGGCAAGAGGAAGGTGACAGTGTTTCATTCATTCCTTGAATGAGCAGAACTGACTGCTCTTACGAGCTCTCTTCTCGGGTTCCCAAGTCAAAGGTCACGGATACCCTGCCCTTTGCATCAACAGCCAAGCAGTCCAGGACAGAGAGAGAAAGGACAGACACAGCAACCCCTGCTTTCTAGGGGTGGGAAATGGGAGATGACCAGTCCCAGGGTGGCCCCACCAGCTGCCCAGGGGCCCTTTCTCATATGGGGCAGATCACCCATACCTCAGATACCAGGCTTACTGCCAGGGAGACCCTCAAGCAAACATCCCCAGCTCCTGACCTCAGATGACTAGCTCTGACAGTAAGCCTAGGAACTGAATGGACACCACAGGAACCTGAGCCATCCTCACAGGGTACAGCCCAGGATGGCAAAAGGATGGAGCTCCTCTGAGACTTGATCTCACAAACTGCCACTCAGGCCTGCCATAACTGACCAACCCTTGGGCCTAACCTCAAACCTCTTCACAGCAGACCATCTGCTACACACTGAAGCATGGGACACCCTCCTTGGGCTGGGCCCCCAACCACCAGCTTGGAGCACCAGGATAAGGTGGGCTGGGCCATGGCAGGAACACAGCAGGTGCACAGCAGGGTAAAGCGCCACAGCCCTTTCCTTCCCTCTGTCACAGAAAGGAATGACAGTCTGAGGACTTGGAAGAACCATGAGCAGGTCTCTGGGGAATGACCCTGAACAGCCTGAGTCAGTGACACCCAGGAGCCCCCAGAGGGATGGGCTGGTAGATCCCAATCCACTCAGCAGACATGAAACAGGCTCAAGGCTGCCAGGTACAGCAAGCATACTCTGCTATCAATGGCTGCTCTCTCAACTGCCCTGTGGGTCACAGCCCAGCTGTTATGGTAGCCAGGACAAATGCAGGGGCATCTTTTGGGCTCAGAAGCATTGGTCCCATGAGAATAAGAGCTCTATGCCATGGGGGACATGAGAAACCCTTCCCCATAACCCATGGAGGCCAGCAGGGACCACACAGCAACCCTTCCCAGCCTCACAGCCAGGTAACAGCCAAGTGCAGCTGTCAGAGTCCCAGCAAGCACACGAGGGCTGGCGGTCCTTGTGAGCACTGCTCACCCACCTCTGGTACAGCAGGGGTGAAGAGGTCCAAGACTACACCCCGGCGGTCGCCACAGCAGAATGCACACCTTGACTTTGGCAAGGCCGAACAAGGTGTGTGCTATGCAGGCAGGTGGAGGTGCCTGGTGCTATCCCCCAGTGCACTAAACGTCCTCCTCTGGACCAGGATCCTGGAAGAGTGACTGCTTCCGTAGGCTGAGCCGCGCACACTTGGGACACGTGGTCGAGTTGTCATAGTAGCAGTCCCTGGGGGTGGGAAGACAGGCTGGGGCTCTGTGCATGCAACGTCTAACACTGAGAGGCTGGTGCTGCAATGTTGTGCGTTAAGCAACCCTCTGCAAGGCCAGCATCCCACATGGGTGCCAGGTCAAGTTCCCGACTGCTCCACTTCCAATCCAACTCCCTGTTAATGCAACTGGGAAAGCAGAGATAGTCCAAGTAGCTTGGGTCCCTGTACCCAAATAGGAGACCTGGGCAGAGCTCCAGGCTTCTGGCTTTGGGAAATGAACCAGTACATGAAAGAGATCTCTCTCTCTCACTCCCTTCTTACCCCCTCTGTAATTCTACCTTTCAAATAAATAAATAAATGTTAAGAAAAAAAAAAAAAAGAAAGAAAGAAAAATTTGGGCCCGGCAAGATAGCATAGTGGTTAAAGTCCTCGCCTTGAACATGCTGGGATCCCATATGGGCGCTGGTTCACCCCACTTCCCATCCAGCTCCCTACCTGTGGGGGGGAAAGTAGTCCAGGACAGCCCAAAGCTTTGGGACCCTGGATCCACATGGGAGACTCAGAAGAAGCTCCTGACTCCTGGCTTCGGATCGGCTAAGCTCCAGCCTTTGTGACCGCTTGGGGAGCAAACCATTGGACACAAGATCTTCCTCTCTGTCTCTCCTCCTCCCTGTATATCTGCCTTTCCAATAAAAATAAATAAATCTTGAAAAAAAAAAATTTTTTGTGGGGCCATTGAAATGGCATAGCAAGCTAATCCTCTGCCTGCAGCATCATCCCATGTGGGTGCCAGTTCATATCCTGGCTGCTCCACTTCCAAATAGCTCCACATGTATAGACTGGGAAGGCAGAGGAGGATGGCCCAAGTCCTTGGGACTCTCAACCCACATGGGCGACCCAGAAGAAGCTCCTAGCTTCAGATCAGCTCAGCTCCAGCCTTCAAAACCATTTGGGGAGTGAACCAGTGGATAGAAGATCTCCATGTTTCTCCTTCTCTCTCTGTAAAATTTGCATTTCAAATAAAAAAATGTACTAAAAATATATATACAACTAGGTTGGGAGGCTGGTTGTGGTTTCTTCCCTTATCTTCCTCCTTCCCGCACATACAGGAAGAAGAAAATATGGAAATAACGGTCTCACCCAATCCTCAACCCTCCCACACTAATCAACTATGTAAACATTATCAAAAAAATTTTTTTTTAAATCAATGCCAGGCCTGGCGTGGTGGCCTAGCAGCTAAAGTCCTTGCCTTACAAATGCCAGGATTCCATATGGGCGCTGGTTCTAACCCTGGCACCCCCACTTTCCATCCAGCTCCCTGCCTGTGGCCTGGGAAAGCAGTCGAGGACAGCCCAAAGCTTTGGGACCCTGCACCCGAATGGGTGACCCAGAAGAAGCTCCAGGCTCCTGGCTTCGAATTGGTTCAGCTAAGGCCATTGTGGCCACTTGGAGAGTGAATCAGCAGACAGAAGTTCTTCATCTCTGTCTCTCCTCCTCTCTGTAAATCTGATTTTGCAATAAAAATAAATAAATCTTTAAAAAAAATTATGCCACTGAATCTTCACAAGCTCCCATTGAACAGAAGTATTCCCACAGGGCAAATGTAGGGATCACAGCCCAGTGTGCTGAGGGGTGTGCTGGACAAAGTGGGGATGGTCTTCACCCTGCCCATAACGACAGTGCAGGCTCGGGGACCCCTCGCCTCCAAGGCTCTGTGCTGTTAGTTACTTGACTGCCACTGCCTGCTTTCTACACTACTGTGCACAGCTGATGTATGGAAACTCCTGCCCGCAGTCCACACCTACCAGCCAAGGCACTGCAGCCTAGCTCACATCTTTGACACGTATTAGTTAAGGGTGACCACTGCACCACCTCTGTGACACTCAAGCATTGCAAACCTAGTGTCTTGGCAGTGGCTGCATGGTGAGGAAATGCCAGGCCAAAATTTGTGCACAGAAGCGGTGCTGGTACGTCCCATCGGACTCCAGATTTGGGAAGGCGTGCAGGGCTCAGCAGGTAAGTATCAGGCTCATTGAAGAAAGAAACTTAAATATTTTTCTTGTACTTTATGTGGACTATCTTTCTAAGCAGCTACTAAATCTTGAGGACATAAACACACGTGACATTGTTTGACTATAAGAACTCTGTAAGATTCGCCTTTCCAATAAAAGTTTTAAAAATTTAAAAATCGTTTGGCCTAGGGACACTTGAAACAATTGCCACGACCTCAGGCATCACAGTTGTGGGAACTTGCAGCCTGTGCTGGCCCTGCAAGAGTGACCTGGAGAAACGAAGCAGCTTGGATGCTGGCCAGGCTGGGCCTTTAGGAGCCAGTGCACCCAGCCACTCATTCCTACTGGAATTTTTAATTCAGGATCAGCAGAGACCCAACTGTCCTTCAGTGGTGGGGAAGGCAGGCAGGCTCCCATAAAGTCAGCCACAGCTAAGGCAGAGGCAAGCCCCCACCGCCCCCTGTCCAGAGGTCAGCATTCCAGACCAGACCCACCTGTGGAAGACGGCCGAGCAGTCGGTACACACGGATGTGTGGCTATCGAACGGGAACAGCACGTCACCCTCTCTGCACAGCTCACACACGAAGCCCTTGGCCTGGCACCGCTGGTGGGGAGTGAGGAGGGGAGGGCAAGTGAATGCCAGTCCCGACAAGGTCTCTGGGGTCGGGTTGAGGGCTGTTTCTCATACTGCTCCCAGCCGTCGGGTGGGAAGGAAGACCCACCTCGCAGTCCAGCTTGATGTGCTTGGCAAACAGAGTGTGGATCTCAGTGAGCGAGCAGCCCAGGCGGCCCAAGTGCACGTCCAGGAGGTCCTGGACGGAGTACATCTCGTCGTTCTCCACAAAATGCTGCCGATCCTGGAGCTGCCAAGTTGCAGCAGCTGTGACCCCAGTATGGGTGATGCACCCTTGTCCGCCTCCCTTATGCCACTACCCCATTGCGGCCTAGAACGCCCATGTAGGCAGCAAGCTGGGTCCTGATAGCAGGATCCAGGAACCTGAGATGGCTGTGCTCTCAGAGTGCTCCATGCTGCTCCTGGTGCTCCAGGCTCCCCCACTTCCTCCTGGTCCTGGCCCCCTGCTGAGATCTCACCCACCCCGTTTCTTCCTTGCTTTCTCTCAACCACGGCACCCACAAACCACCACTAATTTTTCTCAACTCCCCTGTATGATGGGCACTCTGGGAGGGGAATCTAGGACAGAAGCTGTAACACCTAAGAAGGCTCACCCCATTCAGATTCAGGTAAAGTCCCAGGGACAACTCTGCTAAGCGACCTGAGCTGATCCAATTAGGAAACGCTTATGGAGCTAGAAGAGCACCTGTTTTCTTATTGGACGGTAGGTTCTGAGGATCCTAGGCTAAAAGCAACCCTGAGGCTGAGGTGTCCCCCACCTCACCCCAGGCTGTCCCTCTGGCGACCTGACCTGCAGCAGCAGACGAGCCTCCATGGCCTCCCTGCAGGTGATGAAGTAAGGCTTCATGAGCAGGATGTCCTGGCGCAGCTTCTGCAGAGAAGGCAGGGTGGGGAGGCCTCAGCCCGGACGTAAGGGAGCCGCCCAGCTCAGCCATCACCTCCTGCTCCACCACACAGGGTCACAGCAGGTGGTGAAGATGCCTGGAGATTCCCGAGGGTGGCCCCAGCTCTGAATTCTCTGGCCAAACAGGTTCAGATCAGGCCTATGCAGGACTTAGGGGTTCAATATTCATTGCCTGCAGAATCTTCCGTCTACTCAATCCCAGCCCAGCCCAGCTCAGCCCCACACCACAGCAAGCCACCTGTCTGGGAGCCAGCAGCCCCGTGGCCAGCCTGGGGCATCACTGGATGTGCTGAGTCAGAATTCTTGTCAAAGCCAGGTCCCTCATCAACACTTGCAGCCTCAGCAATCGACTTGCTCTGCTCAGTCATCCACTTCCCAGGCCAGGCCTGAGCCTCTGGCATTTCCTGCCTGGACTGGGCACCTGGGCCCCACCTCCTGCACTGCTAGCTAAGAGAGTGACCACCAGCCACAAAGGGCCACTGGGCACCAGCAGCCATCTGCATGACGCCTGAAGCCATCTTGGATGTGCAGGGTTATGTAAGATGTCCTACTCAAATGAACTTAGGTTTCTTCTACTTCCTAAATGTGGTATAGACGATTTAAAATTGCCCCTGCCATGGATTGTGGGCCCTGACTGGGCAGCAGCCTCACCCTCCAGCCTTACCCGGATCTCCACCAGCTCTTCCACATAATTGAACAGCAAAGGGTTGATCTCTCGGAGCCTGAGCACTGGCCGGGATACCATGAGCGTCAGGTAACGCATGCTGCAGCGAGACACCTGCACAGCACAGCCAAATGACTGCCTGCTCCACCCCCTCAGGTCATGCCTATCTGTACCATCAGCCAGGGACACCCTCAGCTGCACCGCTTCCCAATACCCCCTTGTCATTTGCGCACTGGCACCCCCTCCCAATATCCCCATACCACCTGTGCACTAACACTGCCTTCCAATACTGTTCACGACACCTGCATACTGATACACCCTCCCAATACCCCCCTACCATCTGCTCACATACACCCCTGGGTACAAGAACTCCTGTCCTCCAAAACCAGCACCTTGCGGGGCTCAAAGTCCCAGTTGTGGACGACACGTGCAGGGATGACAGCCAGGTCGTTCCAGTGGCAGTGGCTGCAGAAGTACTGGCCGGTGTAGTCACATTGCCGCGCCTCGCTAGGCACACCCCCTGCAGGGAAGCACAGAGATCAGCACCCTGCCCTCAGTCTTCCCCTGCAGCCCTAAGGCTTCAGCCAGCCATGTTAGGGGACTCATGGGAACAGCACACACCTGGTTACTGGGGTGCTCTTCCCAGGACTCGTCTACATGGGCCTCCTCTAGGAAATGGCCACACGCAAGCTGAGCTCAGGTCCCAACCCTGAAGGCCCTGGGTAAGTCATGCAACAGCTGGAACCCCGGTCTGCTCATATATGACAATGTCAGTGGCAGCCCTCGTCACTACCCAAGGGCCAGGGCAGGGAAAGCCCCTCCCACAGGTCTCAGCTGAGCTGCCTGCCTTCACAGCTTCTCGTCCACCCACATGCCCCACGGGTCCTACACCCAGCTCCACTCACGCAGGGAAATGGGCGCCCGGCATTCGGCACAGCGGTAGTCCTGGCTGTCCAGCCCGGTCTCAGGGCAGATGCTCAGCTCATACTCAGCTTGGTGGCTGACTTTGGAGCTCACGCAGGGCTTGGATATGAGGTTCAAGCACTTGCTGTGACAACGGTAGTAACACCCTGAGTGGGAGCACAACCACACACAGCTCAGAGTTGGAGAGGGAGGGAGGGAGGTGCAGCAGCTTAGCCGCCACCCCATGCTGAAGTGTCATTGACTTCTACCTGCTCTGCCTCCAGCTCCCCTTCCTGCTGATGGGCCCTGGAAGGCAGCAGAAGCCTGTGCACCCAGAGGAGAGGCCCAGGAGAGCTCCTGGCTCCTGGCTGGGGCTGGCAGTTTGTGAGTCAGTAGATGGAAGATTACACTTTCTGCATTCCAAGTAAATACACCTTTAAAATGGAGAAGGTGGGGTAGCATCCTACGACCCATGCAGACCTCCAGATGGAGCCCTGACACTCACGACCTTCCACTGATACCAACAAGTCTTAGAACCTGAGGGACCATTATGTCCCCACTCCTGGCGCCTGAACTCCACATCAACAACCTAGGGGCCACCCTGCTACACACATGGAGTCCCATCCCATCCCTGACTTCACATCTTGGGTCACGGTCCCTCTCCTCAGCTACCCCTCACCCCCACAGCCCCACTCTGATCACAGTTACACCATCTTCCCCCTCCACCCAGCAGCCTGAGTGAGCCCAGTAAAACCTAAGCACATCCAGCAGCCAGCTGTGACCCTGTGGCACCTACAGAAAATCTCACTCCACCTTCCCTCCTCTCAGTCTCAATGCTCCCTGATCCTCCTCCAAGACACCAGACTTGTCCACTACAAGGCCCCTTACCCCCAGGGAGCCTCGGCATGCTCCTCCCTGGACATATCTGGCTATCAAGTATCCATGTAGACGTCACCTGGTGTCTCTTCAGTTGTACCTACTCCTTACTCAACACAACACACACGAGTCCCAGTTTTCTTTCATTGCACCATGGCTGGCACACACTGGCTTGATTTCTCATCTATCACAGGCCAACGGGCCTTTCTGAAATGCCGGAGATTCTGTCTGCACTGTCCACAGAACCAGCTGGGCGATGCAGGCAGAGCCCTGCTCACCTGTGCAGGTGTACCAGGTCTGAAGGAGCCCCCAGATGATGGTGTTGCACTTGTCACAGGTTTGCTTGACGCCCTTGCTCTTCTCCTTGTAGAAGCGGTGCTGCAGGAGAACTCGGATGTTGGGTTCATCCTCATTGGGATCCTAACAAGAGGGTCAGACGGGATCCCAGGTGAACTGGGCTGTGGCTCCTTTCCCACCACACCAGCCCCTAGGCTTATTTCTCACAAGCAGCATCTGCAACAAGGACTGTGAGTGTTAGCCTAGTGCCTTGTCCCCCTTTGGCAATATAACAATTCCTTGGGCCTGGCTCAACGAGGCAGCACCACTTTCCCAGAATCCCTTGCAGCGATCTGGGGCTACAGATGTGTGAATAAGGATGGCATGACATCACTGCCCTCCCCTTCTTTCTGAAGACTCCATCTTGAGTTGCCCCAACAGCTGACAGGCAAACAAGGTGAGATTTCCAACACCATCTGCTGCCCCATGTGCCCTGAACCACCTATGAGAGAACATGTCTGCGCAGCCACACCTACTCCCTAATGAATGTTCCACTTCCTAAATTCCCAAGGAACTCTAAGTAAACAGTGGACACGGTGGCAGACAAGCCGATGGGCTGCACGGACACTCGTAGCTTTGGACCCTTTGGGTTGTGGCCTTCTTTGGCTATCACCTGTAGACCATCCCTTCTCCAGGGCCAAGTGGGTCAAGGTAGGACTCTCCCTACCTACTTGCTTCAGCAGGGTGCATGTGCCCTGTAGCTGGCCAGTCAGTCACTACAGAGGGGTTGGGGCTGGGCCAAAGACTGACCTGCACATGAAGAAAGGGAAGCATTCGTGCAAAGCACAGCAAGAGGCTGGAGCTGCCATAGAAGTCTAGATGGCCAGCATAAGGTTCTAATGCTGCAGGGGCCTTGCAGTAAACAAGAGGAGGCCTTCTTCCCTCCATGTAGGGTTTCTGTCCCTTACACCCAGCAGACTCCAAACTAACAGAGAAATAACTTGCACCACTTACCCTGCCTTTCTGGGCACCTTTTCATATCAGCCCCTCAGACCTGGAGGGGAAACCACCCACACACACACACCTGGGGGCCACCCCTGGCTATAGCCCCCATCCATGGCAAGGCAGGCAGTACCTACCTTCAGCTCCTGGAGCTTCAGCCGGAGGTGGATGAGCCTCACCACAGCATCCTTCTGCTTCTCCGATTGTTCGGGCAGCTCCAGAATCACTTGCTTGCATTCCTCGATCGCCTGCCTCAGCTGCTGGATGTCAGAAGCTGAGAATGTGCCCTAGGCAGGGTCGGGGAGGGGCAGTCGTCAGGTTCTCTGTGGGAGCTCAGCCTCAACCCTCACCCTCCACTCCAGTGAGGATATGGAAGCACAGGAGAGTCTGAGAAATTGCTCAAAGCAATTTAGGATCCACCCCAGGCAAACATACTCAGTGAACCTGTCCACCCAGAGGCCTCCAAAGACTAAATCAGGATGCCTTTCAAAAGACAACTTTTGGGCCAGCACAATAGCTTAGTGGCTAAAATCCTCGCCTTGCATGCATCAGGATCCCATATGGTCAATGGTTCATGTCCTGCTTGTGGCCTGGAAAGCAGTCAAAGACAGCCCAAAGCTTTGGGACCCTGCACCCACGTGGGAGACCTGGAAGAGGCTCCTGGCTCCTGGCTTCAGATTGACTAAGCTCCAGCCATTGAGGATACTTGGGAGTGAACCAGCAGATGGAAGATCTTTCTCTCTGTTTCTCTTCCACTCTATATATCTGATTTTCCAATAAAAATTTTTTAAATTATTTTTTAAAAATGACAACTTTTAGGCTCAGTACAGTAGCCTAGTGACTAAATCTTCATCTTGCATCTGTCAGGACCTCATATGGACACTGGTGCATATCAAGGCTGTTCCACTTCCCATCCAGCTCCCTGCCTGTGGCCTGGGCAAGCAGTGGAGGATGGCTCAAAGCCTTGGGACCCTGCACCCATGTGGGAGACCTGGAGGAAGTTCCTGGCTCTGGATCAGCTCAGCTCCAGCTGTTGTAGCCACTTGACAAATGAACCAGCAGTCGCAAAATCTTTCTCTCTGTCTCTCCTTCTCTCTGTAAATCTTCCTTTCCAAAAACTAAATCCTCAGGTCTGGCACTGTGGCATAGCAGGTAAAGCAGACACAAACTAGTTAAGTCCCAGCTATTCTACGTCTCACCCAGTTCTCTGCTAATGTCCTGGGAAAACAGCAGAAGATGGCCAAGCACTTAGGCCTCTGCACCCACAGAGGAGACCCAGATAAAGTTCCCAGCTCCTGGCTTTGCCCTAGCCCAGCGGTCTCCCCCACCTCTATCAGTAAATCTGTCTTTCAAATAAATAAATCTTAAGGGGAAAAAAGGGAAATTCAATTGCCTTTTTGGTTATGCCATTTCCTTATTCTAAAGACTTCCCCTTTACAGAAAAGCTGGGGAAATTATGTTTACTTTCATGAAAAAGAGGAAACGCCCAACAGTGTAAGTTTCAAGCCCGGGTGGGGTGGGGGAGGAAGTTGCCTGGATGGGGCCCACCCCCAGAATCAGGAGTGTTGGCTGAACTCCCAGCACACTGTCCTGCATCCCAGGCCCCAGCCAACCAAGCTTCCAGACTTAGAAATACCCTGTTGCTACTGGGGCAAGAAAGGCTCAGGTCTCATAGGACATGCGTGTGCATGGACAAGCAAACGCCTTCTCCACCGGCCGGGCTCTGAGAGTGCCCCTGCCCACCTCCTTGGCACTATCAGCCTGTGGCTAAAAGGAAATCTCCAAAACTGTGATCACAATACAAACACACCACAGGACATGCATGTGCATGGGCAAGGCTTGAAGGCTAATGGCCATCATAAGCAACATGTCCAGCCTTACTCCAAGATGACTCCAGCTACCCTCAGTCAGGCTTGGAGCGTGGGAGTCAGTATTACGGGACAGTAGGCCTGCAGCCAAGCCCTGAAGACTGCTCTGCCGACAGTAAGAAGCTCCCCCATCTCTGCCCCTCCCAGACTCCAAAGCTTACCATGGGCCGAGAGAAGTGGTCTTCAGAAAGCCCAAGATCCATCACGCGCTCAGTGCATCGGAACTCCGGCTCCCCAGGGGGTAACTCAGACAGGGCCTCTGGGGAGAGAGGGGACAGGTGTGCAGGACAGCAAAGACACAAGGTCAGCCCCACCTGACCTGCCCATGTCCCACAGGCAGCAAGCACTGCAGAGAGCTGCTCCTGTGTGCTAGCAAGAAACAGCCAGTGTGTCCCAGGCTCCTGTGCGCCAAGGCCCCTGCATGCCTACTCTGACATTCAAATCCTCCACAAGGACCTCAGCCACCTCTGCCTCTGCCTGCACTCCTTGTGCCACAGCCCCTTTCAGCAGCTTCCCGACTCTTAGAGGAGAGGGGCCTGAGCAGTGCCCTGCTAACCACGGCTCTGGGGTCATGGCACCTGTCCTGTGCTGGCCACCCACAGGCAGCAGAGATAGGTGAGAACAGACCCCCACCCTCAGAAGCCTTCAGTCACCAGCAGGCTCAGACAAGGAGGATCACCCCTTCCCTGGCACCCACCTTCAGAAGCAATCTCCAAGATTTCCTCATGAGGCCCCTGCTCATGCTGCCGTGGCCCTGGCTGCTTGTTGAAAGGGTTGAGGTGGGCCTGCCGGAACCGGGCCAGCTTCGCATCATATTCCATAGCATCCCTCTGTTGGGGTAAGCAGGGGTGAGGTTCAGTTCCCAGGTTTGTGTGGTCTATCCCTTCTCTGAGGGGTGGGAGAAGCAGACAGCATTCACCCTGCCCAACCCCCACTGGTGGCAGCCCCTGGGGCAGAATTCACAAGACTGGTTCCTGTCCCACACACAGCATGGGCATATGACCCGACCAAGGTGCCCAATCACACCAACCAGGACCAGGCCTTCCCCTCAGATCCCGTGGGGCTCCAGCCACAGGGCTGGCTGACCAAGGGGCTCCTTGGGCTTCAAGCATTTCTCTCACTCCCACCCAGCAAGAGGCCACACACTTACTACAGAGCTGGCTCTCATGAGTCACAATTCCTGGTTCTGGGTTCCTCTTTCTTGGCCCTTGGTTCAAAATGCTCCTTTAGTCCCTATTCCAGCCACCACATACACTCGGTGAGCTGTCCCCGCCTGCCTGAGCTCCAGAGGCTGCTCCCTTTATGGTGAGTACACTGAAGGGGGAAGTCTGGAGAACAGGGCGGGCCTGGGCCCCACCCGCCGCCATCACTGCAGGGTGGATGGGATTGGGGAGGGGATGACCTTGGGGTCTGGGGTTAAAACTTTCAGCAGCCTGTTGGCTGCTGGTGGGTGCCAGGCCGGGTCAGTCCTCAGGCTGGGAGCCCTGAAGGGGGAAGTCTGGAGAACAGGGCGGGCCTGGGCCCCACCCACCGCCATCACTGCAGGGTGGATGGGATTGGGGAGGGGGCGAGGGTAATGAGACCTGGTAGGTTGCAGGAGAGGGACTAGATGATCTTTATAGATAAGATTGAATCCTGTGTAGAGCTTGTAATCACTGAACAATGCTGACCACCCAAACAGGAGTCTATGCAAAAGCTAAGACTGGGGGCTTGTCTAGCAGGATCATATCCTATTACCTGACATGATGATGGATCAGGAGACCGGTCACATAGGCAGGGCCATGATATTAATTAGCACATGAGAGAACCATATCTGGCGGTAGATTCTGTGGGGGATATGTGGGCCAAACCCTGTGAGCTCACGAGTTGGGGTGGTGATGGACTAAGCTAGATGTGAACAAGGAGCCTGCCATCGCTCACTCACTGATAAAGGAATCCACAACAGTTTGAACAGGTCAAGGCAGCAGCACCCAAATGTGCATCCTGAATAGGGTGTGGGGTGGGCTGAGCCACAATGTTCACCAGCTCGTACAAGGCCAAATAGAAGGCCAGACTATGCTGGACACTAGCCTAAAACCCACTGGCATATATGAGAACTGGGTTTGGAAGTGGGTCAAAGCTTCTGCTGGTTAACACATGGTCCAGACCTGGGGGTTGGACAAGCTGGGTAAAGTAGCTCCAATGGCTGGCTAATGTGTGTGTTAGTAACAGAACAGGGTGTACCGAGCAGGACTGAGCAAACCTTAGCTCACAAGCAAAATTAGAAATCAGCATGGAGCACAGGTCATGCCGAGCTAGGCTCTTGCACCTACTGGTCTGTGTGAGCCAGGGACGCTAAGCCACAGTGTCTAAGGCAGGGGTCGGGACAGGTGAGGAGCTGTGCCAAGCTAAGTCAGAGCAACCACTGGCATGTGCGCGATCTATGGCTGGGAACAGGCCCAGTTGGGGAGCTAAGGAGACACCCTAGCCAGGATGAGGTTCCCACCAAAGGGCACGGGGGCTGGAATGAGGGCTGCGTTCTAATCAGGACATGGTTGTAGTCTCCCTTGGCACAAGTGTGGACTGGGACTGGATGTACCAAGCCGAGCAAGACTCCAACACCATCTGATGCTGTGGAGGACCAGGGTAGATGTGGGATGGTAGGTTAGGACTGTCAAAAATTTTAAAAATGAAAAAAAAAATGCTCCTTTCCCACAAGCGTACCCCAAAACCAAAGAGGAGGGGTCACTGGAGGGCTCAATATTAGGTGTTCTGTAGCTCTACAATCTCCGTGCCCCAGGAGTTGAGTTCCTGGAAGATGACGTGCTTATGGAGAAGCCTGCATTGGCTCCAGATGGAGGTCAGCCTAGGGCTGTGTGTTGTAATCTCAGGCAACAGGCAGGAACCTTGCTCCTGAGAGCCAAGAGTCAAGACTCCGTGCCTGCCCTCTGCCCCTTTGAGGCTCCCAGACTGCAGGTCATGGCAGGGACAGTGCCAAGCCTGTTTCCACCCACTTCTTCCCCAAGCTCCAGTCTAGCCTCTCTCTACCTCCATTCCTTCACCCAGAAATGGACCAATGAAAGGGCAAATTAGTGTACAGACACTGAGCACAAAATAAGCCCTCAGGGAAACCATCCAACCTAGCAATGAAGAGGCCTGCATCCCATATCATGGTGTCTCCAGCTCCCAAGTCCCGCTTCTTGCCAGTGCAGACCCCAAGGGAGCAACGACGGCTCAGGTACTCGGGTCCCTGCCCTCAGACAGGAGACCTGAACTGAGTTCCCAGTTCTAGCTTCTGCTTGGCCCAGTCCTGGCCACTGCAGGCATCTGTGGAATGAACCACCAAATGACAACACTCTCTCTCTGCCTCTGTGCCTCTCCAAAAAATGTTGTAAAATATGCCATTAAATTCTCAGTGGCACTTGTTTGCTACAGGAAACCACACATGTTTTAGAAAGTGCACAGTGTTTGTTATGCCTTCTCTGCACCCATTGCTGCACAAAACAACACAAGCAAAAGGAACAACCAAGTCTGTCCTGCACCTTTCCCCCAGGAAAGCCAGCCCAGGGGGGAAGGCCCACAGAGTGAGGGCAGTGCTCGCTGAGGCTTGTAACAGGCACCCTCCCGCAGCAGAGTAAGTGGCACCACCCACCTTAGGCCCGGGCCAGGAACCTCCCTGGCAGGACTCAGCACCTGCTGACAGGCTGACAAATGGCAAGAAGGCTCAGAGGACACAGTCCCTCCTCTTTCCCTTGTTATCTGACGTCACTGGGTAGGTAGATCCCAGAGGACGGTGGGTGTCGAGCTGCTCTCCAGAGATTCTAGGGAAGACTAGGGAGATGCCCACCCAGTGCCCCTTCACCCAGGTGGGTGTGTCATGTGACTTCCCAGCCTGCCCTATAGCCAGGTGTGGTATCTTGACTATATTCTGACCAATGGACAAGAGCAGAAAGCTCATGAAGGCTTCTGGGACACAGACGTAAGGAATGAGGCAGAGGCAGATCCTAGATGATCTAAGAGCCTTGAATGAAGAGAATTGCAAGTGACTCACAGAGCAGTTTCCATTCAAGTGACACAGGAAGAAACTTACATTCACACAACTGTTCCTGCAAAGGAGATTTTTGGCCCAGATCCTGCCAGGTCACCCAACAACCCAGGGGCCAGATTCTAGTCTGAATTCCAACAGTGTGACCTTCTGGACATACCCACATCTTTCTCTGTTTTCAATTTCTCATGTTTCAAACAGGAATTTAAAATAGCAACATACAAGGCCATTGCAAAGATTCAAAAACCAATGAATACAAAGTTGCAAGAGCACTCAGTAGCACACAGCAACAACTTAACTATGGTTGTCCTTACTTTTTTTTTTCAAAGACTTATTTATTTTTATTGGAAAGGCAGATGTACTGAGAGGACAAGAGACAGAGAGGAAGACCTTGTGTCCAATGGTTCACTCCCCAAGTGGCTGCAATGGCTGGAGCTGGGCAAATCTGAAACCAGGAGCCAGGAGCCTCTCCCAGGTCTCCCACACAGGTGCTGGGTCCCAAAGCTTTGGGCCGTCCTCGACTGCTTTCCCAGGCCACAAGCAGGGAGCTGGATGGGAAGCAGGGCTGCAGAGATTAGAACTGGTGCCCATATGGGCTCCCGGCACGTTCAAAGTGAGGACTTTAACTGTTACACTATCGCGTCAGGCCCTGGTTGTCCTCACTCTTAAGAAACAAACAGCCAGGAGCAGAGCAGCAGCCCATAACACCAGCATCCCACATGGGCACTGCTTTGAATCCTACCTACTCCACTTCCAGTCCAGCTCCCTGCTAAATGACCTGGAAAAGCAGCTGAGGACGACCCCTGACCCAGAAGGAACGCCTGGCTCAGCCCTGGCTACTGCAGCCATCCAAACACTGAAACAGTGGACCGAAGACCTCTCTTTCCTCTCCCTGTCTAACTCTTCCAAGCAAATAAACAGAAAGAGAGAAAGAAAAGAACCTGATTTAAATTGTGGGTCTCCCAGTGAGTGCCACGGGACCCTAATTCCTTACCTATGTAAGACACCTACGTCCCGAGGTGGATGCTAGGTTTACGCATGCATGTACGCCAGTGAGGCCAAACCCCAAGAGTTCCTGCTGAGCAAACTGTCCTGACATCGCATGGTGACCAGCAAACCAAACGGAAGTAGAGGAGTAGCCCATCAGGGCAGCGGTGAAGGCCCGACCCACAGCAGAAAGCCTGCTGGACTGCGAGCTTTCCAGGCAGAGATGGCTCAAGTGATGGGGTTGCTGTCACTCACACAGAAGATCTGGACTGAAGTCCCGGTTCCGGGCGTTTTTTGTTTTGTATTGTATTAATTTCATTTATTTGAAATGCAGAGAGAAGAAAAGCTAACGAGAGAATCTTTCATTGCTAGTTCACTTTGCAGATGACCACAACATTTGGGATTGGACCAGGTGAAGCCAGGAGCTTCCCGCAGTCTCCCACATGGGTGTGTGCGTGCAGACACGCTGAGCACAAGACAAGGTTTCGGGGAAGACCACTGACCTAGAAGTGAAGAGGCCTACATCCCACACCATGTGCTAATGGGACGCCAGCAGGGCAGGACCAGAGACACAGCACCAGCCCCCAGTACCAAACTTCACATGGGCCCAGCCCCAGCTGTTAGCAGCATTTAGACAGTGACTCAACCAGAAGAGGTTATCTCTTTCTCTGCTGTTCAGAAGAAAATACATAAATACCAGATGCTCTAAAAAATGATTGAGGGGCCGACACAACAGCCTAGTGGCTAAAGTCCTCACCGTGCACATAACAGAATCCCATTTGGGAGCCGGTTCATGTCCTAGTGGCCCTGCTTCCCATCCAGCTCCCTGCTTGTGGCCTGGGAAAGCAATGACAGAGGGCCCAAAGCCTTGGGACCCTGTACCTGCGTGGGAAACCTGGAAAGAAGCTCCTGGCTCCTAATCAGATCAGCTCTGGCCATTGTAGCGCTTGTGGAGTGAATCAGCAGATGGAAGCTCTTTTTCTATCTTTCTTCTCTGTAAACATGCCTTTCAAATCAAAACAAATAAATCTTTAAAAATAAGGCATTAAGAACGTGGCCGGGCCTGGCGCGGTGGCACAGTGGTTAAGGTTCTCGCCTTGCACGCCCGGGATCCCATATGAGCGCCAGTTCTAATCCCGGCAGCCCCGCTTCCCTTCCAGCTCCCTGCCTGTGGCCTGGGAAAGCAGTCAAGGACGGCCCAAGGCTTTGGGACCCAGCACCCGCGTGGGAGACCCGGAAGAGGCTCCTGGCTTCGGACCAGCATAGCATCGGCCGCTGCGCTCACTTGGGGAGTGAATCATCGGACGGAAGATCTTTCTCTGTATATCCGCCTTTTCAATAAAAATAAAATAAATCTTAAAAAAAAAAAAAAAAAAAGAACGTGGCCACAGGAACTAAACATGGACACGGGACACACCCCTGGGGAAGATTCTCTTCATTCACACTAGCCTAGGCACAAGTCCGACCTCTGAGCTGGGCCCTCTCCTGTGAGGAGCAGAACCCCATGTTCTTGTCTGCTGAGGGTCAACAGCAAGCCCTACCCCAAGTCCTAG